ATACTCTTTTTCTCACGGTCTGTACAGCTAAATGGAAGATGTTAATCGTCTTTCTCTCTGTACTGATGAGAGCGCACGCTAGGAGCCCCTGTAACCGTGCGATTGCATCTGCTACCCACTCCGCAGGCTTCTATCTCCCAGCATCGCATTCCTCCGTCTCACCGTATGTCTCAAACAAAAGTTGACGTCTGTACGTGGCCCTTAGTACAGCAGCATTGGGGCAACAGTCGTGTCTGTGGTGACAGTTATGGGAAGACTGCTCTTGGGTTAACGGCAAAACGTGCACATTTAATAGACGTATCTCGGAGGGTTTTTTTTTTTGTGTCAGCGTGTCCCACCAAGTGTTATTCATTGTACCTCATTTATCAAGCCCTTACAGATAATGTAAGAAGATGAGCTCAGGTTGAGGCTCTGGCCAGGATTTGAACGTTAAGCTGCCCGAATGCGAGTCCAATATTAAAATGACAACACCACCCTTAAAGCAAACAACAGTAATATAAGTACAGGTTCAGAAAGGTACGTTCCATTATTAACGAATCGTAATGAGGCAGTAGTTTGAACTGTGTGGTTGAAATATTGTCAACGTATTACTCGTGTATTTGTGCTTTTTTCTTCAGTTGAAAAACTCGAGTGACGTTCAGCAGCACATAACAGGAGAAGTTGAAACCTTCACACCCGAGATGTTGACATCCACCCGGGACGTTCTTGAATCTGATGTGTCCCGTTAATTCCATGGGGCATTTGGGGATGTTTAGAGAGATAAAATAACTCGGTGGATAAAATCTTCACGACCGAGTGGTCCATGTGTGGGGTACAGTGGGGAGCGGTGGTGTAGCGGTCACCGCGCTGCGCTATGAACACAACGAGCCAAGTTTGATTCCCGCTCACGGCCAACACCGTTGATGATTATCTTAACCGGTCCTGGGCCTCCCCTAGGTTGACTGAGCCTCAAATAAGTACCTGGTATGGTGTGTATACATCACCATTGGGGAGACAAAGGCTGTCGGTTGTGGTGCTGGCCACCCACCCCCTCGTGTACCGTTCCAGCTTTCATAGGTCCTCGCTAACAGCACTTGCCCCAACGGTGTGTAAAGGCTATACGGGGGATCTTTGTCTTTGGGGTACAGTGCCGCATTGGTTAGGACACTTCGCTATGAACCCGGCGACCCGAGTTCCATTCTCGTTCACGGTCAACATCGGTGGCGAATACTTGAACCAGTCCTGGGCCTCCCCAGGGTGACTCTGGGTTAAATGTTTACCTGGTGCGGTGTGTAAATATCAGCCCTGGAGAGACAAAGGTGGCTGGGCGTGGTGCTGGCCACCCCACCCCCTCATGTGCCATGCTTGCCTTAAAAAGTGCTCACTAACAGCACTTGCCCCAACAGCCTTTGTATAGTTTTATCAACTAAACTCATAATGCTGCCTAATCATAATTATACAGCCATGGATGATGTCTTCATGAACACCCTGAGGGTGGAGGAGTGGTGCAGGAGTGGATCGCTTACTGCTCTACGAACCCAGCGACCAAAGTTCGATTCCCGGCTTCAGGCTAACGTCAGCGCCGAGTGATATGTGAACCGGTGCTGTGCCCCCGCCGCCCTTCCAACTCGCTCCGAGCAGCGTGGCGGAGTGTGCTCAAACAACTCCCATGATCGGCATGGTGTGGCAAGGCCTTCATCCACCAGTGGATTGTCAAAAGACTGCAATATTTTTTTTCGTGTGACTTTTTGTACCTTTCTTCTACTTTCCACTCCTTTTGTTTTTTTTTATTATTTGTTGTGACTGACCCCCGTGCCTCTACGGGACATCTGTGATAACGAGCTTGATAGCTCATCGGATTCTTCCTCCGGTCTAAATTAACCTTTCCGATCCTGATTCTAAAGTTGTTGCACGCTACAGTGATAGATACGGAAGACGTCGCGTCCCTGTTCCTACTCTGCCGACGGCGAGTGCACGCGGGTGACTAAACAGGATGCGCTCGATGGGGCGCGGCTTGCAAGTGTGAGCACCTGCCTGCCTGTATGGGGAGCGGTCGTGTAGCGGTTAGCGCGTCACCAGTTTTGGGCCTCCCCTAGGTCGACTCGGCCTTAAATGAGTACCTGATGCGGTATTTAAACATCGCCAGTGGGGTGACAAAGGTGGCCGGGCGTGGTGCTGGCCACCCACCCCCTCGTGTGCCTATTCCAGCCTTCATAAGTGCTCGCTAACAGCACTTGCCCCAACAGTCCGTTAACGCTATACGTGGGATCTTTGTTGACGCAGGGCGAGCTAGACTTGCGTCGAGAACGCCTCTCCACTGTGTCCCGCGCCGCCACCACCCGTGTGTGACGCAGCATTCCCTCGTAATTCGCGAGGGATACATTCCGGAGATGCTCGTGAATGAGCAATTCTTGCGGGTGATGATGATGTTGGCCCACGAATGTGGTGCATGCAGCGTCTGCAGATGCTTCTAAAGGTTTCCAAATTTCTCTGTCGATCTCTCTCATCACCTTATTTCATAACTTTTTCTCTCTCTCGATGCAATCGTATAGAGTTCCAGATGTGACTCGCAGATAGGCAAACTCGCGTATGGCAAGTTCGTGAATAACGAGGGAATGCGGTACAGAGCTGGGCTCAGTGAGGCTCGCGATCAGAAAATTATAGATACCTAGTCATGGATGGCAATTGATATCTAAAGCAAGTCCCAGCCCCAGCCTCCCCCCCCCCCCCCCTCTTTATCAACCCGCATTGACCAATGTGGTGAAGTGTGATCAAATAAACCCCATGACCGGTGCAGGTATTTGTCCGACAGCAGACTGACAAGGAAAGGGCTGGCCATTCACTTCCTACAGATGATGTAATATAATTGATTATTCTATTATAATTACGAATGGTATTGAGAGCAGTGGTATTCCTTTGTTAGTGTGCCACAGCGAATGTTCAGCCGCGGAGGACGTTTTTCAAGAATAAAATCCTCATCCTTACTTCGAGTTAATAAAAAATCGGTACCGTTTTGTGAAAAGTCTCCAGTGCTCGTTCTTACGGAGAGACTGCCCCCCCCCCCCCACCATGGGAATGTGGAATTCACACCACTGGCTCAAGTCTGCCAGTGGACGTGAGTGCTTCCCCATTGTTCGTTGAGCGTGGACAAATTTTTGACAAGTTTCTGAATTTGAAGTAAAGAGAGAGAAAGAACTTTGGCCGAGTTCCTACACACGCGGTTGCGTTTCGCACACACACACACAATGTAGTGGCACGCAATGACGTGCTCTTGGGAATGGCGCCAGGGGAGGTGTCATTTTGAAGACCAAATAAATCGGCAAAGCGCAGACTTGTTTTGATGATTCTCCACGTGCTGCCCTTCAATCTTCTTCTGCCATACGGCTCATGTAGATACAGAGCAACAACCACAATTTAACATTCAGATGGTCGAGCTAGATAACCGCGTCAGAAGCAGCGGGAGTGTATTATTGCTGTGATGTCTCCTTCGTATTTGTGGATTGGGCATTGCGTCGTTATGTGTTGTACGGTCTGTTCTGGATGAGCACAGTCGCACACCGCTGGAGAGTTTTAAATGTTCCATTTGTGCATCAGGTGTCCGCATCTGCCATGTTTTGTGCACATGCAATTCGGGGCAGACCATGAGCTCTTAAAAATCTAACCACAGACCCTTGAACTTCGTAGGTGCACGGACCTTGTAGCTGCTGAAGCGGAACCTTCTGACTCGTGTGGAGTGTCGTGTAGGCATGGGCAATGGGGCAGGAAGAAACTTTAAAGACTTGAAAGCAACGGGTACACGGCACAGCAGATGTCACACGCTGTCTAAAGCCGGTGGTTCCTCTGCCTCAAAGGGCAGTGCGCTCGTTCTAATCTCTTGCGGCCGTCCCGAGCCACAGGTCGAAGCGAGAAGTTCGCTTGGGTGGGGGGGGGGGGACTTTCTGTCCTTGAGATGACCACGGTTTTACTTCCTACAGAGTGTTTAGCGTTCTATTGAGCATTGAGGGGACGATTAGCTCAGTCGACCTCCAACTGGGATATGATCAAACAAAAAACACAAACTCTTTAAGATACTGCCGGATCGCCCTTGGAAAAAACTTCATCAAAACCAACAAACTTTCAACGTGGGAGATGACATAAGCGACATATATAACCCGCCTTGTGAACATATGTCTTTTTCGAATGAATGTACATGAAAGGATTGTCTGAAAAGAGCACGAGACTTATCAGAACGAGCGATCCCACTTGCGATAGTCATCTCGGTAGAGGGAAGCCTCGAGCGATGTCTAGCGGTGCCCCCCGCCGCGTGTAAATACGGGACTCGGCTACGAAAGCCACGCCGAAAACCGTCGACCCTACATGGCGATGGGGCGACGTGCCACCCTCGCAACCCCCACCGCAAGCACCGCAGGTGATGTCAGCCCCAACGGAACCTAATGTTTTCGTTACGCAAGTAAAGACGCTTGCTGGTGATGTGGGCAGGGAGCAAGGCGAAAGCTGTGCCAGGAATGATTTAATGGACTGAGATTAACGATTGAAGCCTGCAGTAGGATAAACACTCGCAGCAAGTCTGATGACAACAGTAGTGGGGAGAATGACAGCATTGGTTAAACTGTACCGAGGAGGAATCTTTATTATATTTAACTTTGCAATGTCCGTCCACAGTCATTATCAGCGCCAAATGGTGACGGTTATGTTTTGCGGATGCAGACATATTTCACCGAGATCTTCCGTCTATGGCCTTGGGCAGAAAACAAGATCTGGCGCGTGCAGCATAAGTTTTTTTTATAAACAAAGTGCCCCCCCCTCCGCCCGCGGTCGTTGCGACGAGGAGTGACGTCCGTGCTGGCAGCCTTCCCCCCCCACCGTGCGCCCAGCACGCCTGACGTCGTCTAACCGCAGCAGCGAGTTAGGAGGAGCCGTCGGCACACTGCCTCCGCACCAGCCTGTCGCACTGCAGCCGAGAGAGAGAGAGCGGAGAAGAAGAGCCGCGCCAGCCTGTCGCACTGCAGCCGAGAGAGAGAGAGCGGAGAAGAAGAGTGAGCCGCCGTCGGCTCCGCAGGCTGGTGGCGTTCAAAGAAACTTCACCGCCGGTTTTTCTGGTGGGCGAGAGAAGAGAGAGAGAAAAGGCCGAGATATTACATGTGGTCTTGAAGAGCGCGCTTGTTGAGTTGAGAACTTTGGGCAAGATTTTAACGACGGCGGTCTTCACGACGGGGGCGAGTTTAAACCCGCTCGTTTTGGTCGCGTCAACATCGGCGCGTCGTGCTCGCTTGGGCCTGAAGCTTCGCAGGTGTCGTTACTTTCTGGCTAACGCTGGCGCACCGGCGTGTCTGAATCAAGCTTTTGGCAGTGGTGCATTTACTGTTGACATCCAAACGTCACGGACGGGAGCGTCGACAGCACAAGTGAAGCGGCTGGGGATGCTGCTGCCTTGACTTTTGGATGAGGACCACGACGACCAAAGGGCAATAAGCAACTTAAAATCATGAGGCACAAATGCTGTGGGTATACTTCTTAATTCCGTTTCTCTGCATCACGCTCGGCTATTGTTTCTTGATCACTGTGTGTTTGAGTACATCATGTCAACGCTGAACATTCGTTTTTTTTATTTTCACGCGTATTTTTACCAATAGTGATTCAATTACGGGCTCTGCGTCTATTTAAATGTGTTTATGTTTTGCTTGTTTACAGATGCAGGCTTTGCGCCCAATTTAATTGTGTTTACGATTTTCTTGTTTACACTCTTGTTAAGATATATTTTCCAGAACTCACAACCGAGCTGTGGCATGACTTCCTGTTTATGCATTGCTCTTCATAACAAGAAAAAACTCATCGCATTCAAAAGTCAAAGTGCCTCCCTGATCAAAATGATTGTGATGGGGAGACGCCATACTAATGTGGAATTTCCGTCACTGGCTCGGAGCCAACAACAGAGATGAGCACTAAGTGCTTGTTTGGGCAAGCGAATGCTTTTACACGACTTTGAGTGTAGAGCCTATGAAACCCGCTCGCTGAATTTGTTTTTCATACAACTTGCTGTCCACAGCTGTTCCAAACGGCGTGTTTTAACCAACAATGGTGTCTTCCTATGTCTTGCTCTGTCTCAGTTTGGTATCGTTATGCTGGGTAGGTCAAGAAGAGAACTTGACAGAGCATTCCCTGATCAGTATCTTTAACTCAAAACAACCTAAAAGTGAGCGCAGGTGAAATGTCAATAAAAAAATGCAAATGGAGTCAAATTTGTATAGATACAGAACCCGAGATTCATCACATATCAAGATGCTGTAGAGAAGGAAGACATTTATGATGAGGTTATAGCAAAGACGAGGAATTTGTTATGTATGTACGTTGAACTTCTTTTGCACCATATGTAGCCAACCGTGCTATTCGGAGTTTCAGGGGAAGGACAACAAACTAAACACAAAAGCAGTTCTAAAGAAATTTGTTTTCAATCCTAGATTTAAAAGTCCATAGCTCCAGTGGCTTCCTCATATCGGAAGGAAGGGCATTTCAGACGGCCGCAGAAGCGCACTTGAAAGCACGCGATGTTACGTGAAGGGAAAGGTTGGTGGAAGCTCAGCATGAGAGAAAGATTCTTGACCACTGTGCGAGTGGAATGCACATGGATGTGCTTATCTGTCTTACGAGCCGAGTAGAATCATAAGCCTGGACTTGAACCAATAGATGGAATCGGCATTGCGGACTGCCAAGGAGGAGGGGGGGGGGGTAGTTCCAAACTCGGGAACAACAGCTGAGAAGGAGTGACCTCCCTTTGAACCGGGATTGACTGAAGGGTTTAACAGGAGGCCTTGGTTGCTGGATTGGAGGGCAGGGGAAGAGAAAAGTGAAATGCATGGGGAGAAGCGGTGGATGTTTTTGTCACTGACAAACTGCCGCGTTGCATTACATATTATAGAACAGTTGCGATGATTGCACGTGGCAGTTTGATGTAAGTTGAATCCCAGGGCTGTTACTGATGTGGTTTTTTTGTGTGTTTTGTGTTAATCCATTCAGGCCATGTGGAAGCACTTGACTATTTAGAGCACAGAATAAATAAACAAGTGATTTCCGTTCTAACGGAACGTTCCGTCATTCCTTCCCGTTGATGCAAATTGAAGGCCATATGAGACAGCTGGTTTTAACGTCCGCTGTGGTGCTGGAGGCTAGCTCTCTCCCTCACTCACGGCAGACAGCCTTATCCATTCAGATCAGGTGTCCATTTGCCAGTGGGTTCCTTGATTCGTAGCCAAGTATTGAGATGTCTGTTTTGCAAGGGAGACCTTGAATGTGACACTGATAATGTCGTGTATAACACTTTTATCGAAATAATACATGACAATGGCAAAATAGGTAGTCACAGTTTAGTGTTTGCAATAAAATAATGGACCAATGGCAAGTGTGATTAATATGGCTTCGTAAAAAAAAATTCAATTGCAGTGTCACAACGGGTGGCCTAGAGAAACAGTTGTAATGTGACCACACCTTTTTATATTCGTATAAGTGAAATCTCATCTCAAATGAGCAATGAACTACGCTCATATCTTGGCAGTCGTGAGTCGGTGGTGGAAACGATGCATTCCCAGGGCAGGCACTTTGACGTCCAGATAAAGCTAAACCTATTTTAGTCACCGCAAGTGATGATTGTGGGCTGAGTCAACAACACCTGACTGGAACATTAACTGTTCCATTGTAAGTCAAGTGCTCTGACCACTGCACTACCCCGCCTGTTCACCGTGCTACTCGGTAGCCGTTGAACGTTAGACCAGCACGTAGCTTTACATCTGTCAACCCACTGCCTTATGTATGTATGTTGAACTTCGCACCGTACGTAGCCAACCGCGCTAATCGGAGGTGCGGGGGGGGAAGGACAACAACCTAAACACAAAAAGCAGTTCTAAGGAAATTAGTTTTCAATCTATATTTAATAGTGCATGGCTCCAGTGGCTTCCTAATATCGGAAGGAAGAGCGTTCCAGACGGCCGCAGAAGCGCATCTGAAAGTGCGCGATGCAGTGACCGCCTTCGTTCGATGGTTGGCCAAAAGCCGCTGCTGTGAGGATGACTGGAGTTGATCAGATCAATGTCGATCGTGGGGGTTGTTTGACCCTACCTCGCCAAGCTTTTAAGTACCGGTCTGGTGAAGGGAGCCACCTGGGACTGGATCAGATATCACTCGCCACTGATGTTAACTTGTGGCCGGAAATCGAACCCAGCGTTTGCCGAGTTCAAGCACATTGCAGTACCCCACCTGCTCCACCTTTCCACTTGCACTGTGGATGGCAATGCTGTAAATCATCCGCTTGGGAATGTCTAACTCAATCGCCTTCAGGTGTGGTCGCTCTGTGGTTCAATGTCTACAGAGAAACCTCTGAGTCACCAGTGCCACCACCTCTACAGCAGTGAGTGTTGTTTTATGACTCCGCTCATTGTTGTGGGTCGGGGCATGGCTCAAACACTTTGGAATGTCTGCTGTAAAGTTGTATGATGTCACCAGTTGTGTCGAACAAAGCCACTGTGCTAAGCATACAGTGCTACATTCTTTAACATCAGCCATTGTGTCATCATCAGCAGCAGCAGCGCTGTTACCAAGTACTGGGGTCAGCAGGAGTACGTGGGTGGTTATTTTTTAACAGCGCTCAGCTTACTTCACCACCTCATGAAGGTTGTGAGTTTTTTTTGTTAATGAGAGTTGACTGCCCCATGTTGTGTCTTCAGTCAATAAAATGACTACCAGCTTTAGTGGGAACATTATGACGCCGTTTCTCATTTACGCAGACGGTCAGGTCACAAAGGAGAATGGGGAATTCCCACCCCTTGGCAATGGCTGCTTCCGGTGGAAATGAACACTATCCCTGACTACTTGTTTGCGTTAGCAGCACTCTGAAATGGCCTATGCCCAAATCGCCCAAAATGTGCCAGATCCCATGTAATATGTCAGCTGCTCAGCTGCTTTGAACCTGGATGGTGCTTGTTTTTGGGTGGCCATCATTGCACAGCAGGTTGTTATAGTCTGCGGAACTGTATGTTGGGCAGCAGAGGTCGGTTCAGAAAAATGAATTGTCGTACAGTAATTCTATGCCCCCTCGTCTATACCAGTCTGCATTGATTCGCGTAGTGAAATACGGTTAAATAACCCGTAATATTCACGTGGTATCGTAAAGCCCACATCCAGCAGTGGGTTTGAAAAGGGCTGTACGCGTACTCCAAATTGAATTGACATGTACCTACATAAGGAATATATATAACTACGATATTTGTGTAACTAATGTTTCTAAGTGTTGTGTTCACCGAAGAGGGAATGTTGGATTTGCCAGATTCGTGTCTCACAGTTGTATTTGTTTCAAATCATTTTGAGATGACCTTTGTTAAGTTTCAACTTCACAACTGATAAATAATAATATTAATGATAATGAACCAGAGCTATGTAAAATTGAAATCTAGTAAGCAATCCAAAATAGCATTATGCATGACACTAGTGAGAGGAACTCACATGTGGCATTTATAACCTCAAGAATTACAATTGCATCTGCTATTGTGATTTAAGTCATTCCAAAAATGGCTTTACCAATGGCATTCACAAGTATAGCAGAAGTAGGCATCAAGGAATGCCTTCAATGCAGATATAGACGGGAGGGTTGGAATATTGAGATCAGTGACCAACTCCATCCAGAATTTAGGCACCGTTATTGAGAAAGCCCTTGACCCATATTTAATCCTTATTTTTTGAATGGATATGAAGGCGGAATGCCTGCACCCACAAATGTGGCGTTAGCCTGGGCAATCGGATGCCTCTGTGTGTATTTGTGGCGTGTCCTAGTGAAAAGAGAGCCACTGAGGCTGCCGATGCCGTGATCATTACCAGATGCCCCGTTGTCTGCTGCTACACTCGGGGAGGAAGCGGTGGGTAGAGTGGGTGGGGGGGGGCTTTTGATGGTCCCTACCACTCCCACCAAAAGGCACTATCCCAATTGTATCCGAGTGAGGTGACGGTGATGAACGCCTGCGATGCAGCCAGCGCTTGTGGTACAAGTTTGATGGACCATGCGTTATCGTCATCGTCGCGTGTGTGAGACTCAAGACTCTGTCTAACGAGGTGGTGCCAGTTGAGGAAGTGTAGACAACAGGTTCCTCCACAATTCTCGAAAAGCCTCTACAAATTGCTGAGCGTTTTCATCTCGCGTGGGGATTTTTCTTCATAGTTCTCCGAATTTTCTCTCAAGGATCGCGCGGGCGGGAGACTCGCGTAATGTAGAGCCGGATTCACATCCGGACCAAACAGTCAAACGCGTTTTCCTCGGTCGACCTCTAATAATGGGGCCGTCGGCAAATTCTTTCCAGACATCGGAGGAAAAGGAACTTTTGCGAACATGTGAACGGGACGCTGTAATGTCCGTGTGATTCATCAACCGCACCTCCGGAGAGCTGCCTCAAAGGCACTCGCCACCAATTAGTCGTGCGATGTAATGCATTGTGATTTTAGGAAGTTCTAATCCGTGGAGTGTGCGTGAGGTACGAGTGGCGTTTTGGGTGCCTCTTGATGTGTGACGTCGATTGCTTTTCATCTTCGCTCGTTCTATTCTGACACGATTTAATAACGTGTATTGCATGCACCATAACACCACCCCAAAGGTATACAATACAGTACACTATAGTTTGGATATATGGAGCAACTTAATTTGACTGCTTCTCGAGGCCCTGTAGAAATTGTGGGGCTGGGAGGAGTGGTGGTGGTGGGGGGTGTTTGTACGTTGAAGAGCCTTGGCAAAGCGAAAGCTGTGCGAGCCTGCCTGCATGCTTGCGTGCGTGCACATTAATTCCTCTTGTGCTCACGTCCCGTGACCGATCTTCCTTCGTGTGCCTCAAACAGACACTGAGACGGAGAAAGACGCGGCTCTCAGACTTTCCCAGGAGCGAGCTGAGATCATCGAAAAGTATGACCGGGTAAGCACGCGTTCACGTCAAAGCCAGCCGTCGTTGATGTCAAAGTCAAGATAGGTAATGGAAGTTCAGCGCCAAAATGTCTCTCCCCGCTCAAGCTAACAATGTAGTGTTGCTCAATTTTAAGCCATTGATGGGAATTCCACCTGTGGCAGGGGGCAGTAGATGATGCACTAGTGTTACAGTGACGCATACGCGTTTCTATAACATAACTCGTTAATTTTGGTAATTAATATTAATAAGTCTCTCGCTGCAAAAACAAGCATTGAACGGGGGTCATCATCGATGGCGGGCCTGAAGCCAGCAGTGGAAATTCGACATTACTATGGTACCAACCGTTACCTATGGAGGATGACTACTGTTGACTTCCCACAAAGTGGTACTCGTTTTATTGACCCTGGAGGGATGATGTGCTTAGTCATCACCCCGGTGGACTTTGAACTCACTTATCCTTCTTATCATGAGTCGTGCACTCTTAACTACAGTGCCACCTGACCGAATGAGTCCTGCTCAATATTGTATTGTACTGGTGGGAACCACCTGGTTCCATCAGCCCATAGGGGATTATTGTGTCCGTCCGTCGTGCATTAAAAAATGGGAGGGGCTGGGTGGAGAGGGGAGGGTGGGGAGGGGAGGGTGGGGGAGGGGCTGGGTGGGGAAGGGCTGGTCACCCCGTGGGTTCCCTTATAAAACTCAACGTTTAACCTACTCACGCCGGCTTGTGCCCGCCCTCACAGTCGGCCATATTTGCGGAATACACCACGCCGCCGTTGACCCTGGCCATTGACCGAGCAACCCAACATTCCTACCAGCTCCCTCCGCAGGAATGTGTACTGTGCGTTCGAGAGCAGCAATTCACTCGCTCAGTATTGTGGTGTGCTGCTTCCTGGTCCAAAACTCCTTAGTGTTCACATGTGCACTGATGTAATCAGATGTTTGTCCATTTTTTTTCTTCCAGTTTTTCAGAGAATTATATGGGCTTTTATTCAAAATATGCGGCAGACTAGTAAGTTGGTGTACATGGATGAGTGTACTTTTTTTTTGATACATTTGGAAGTTACATTATCATTGACGAGTTAGCTATTGTAGCCCCAGATGTAACATTTGAGGTTATATTCTCAATATCAATCAGGATAATGATTAGCATTTTATTGGGTACTTAGTTACTGTGGCATCCCTAAGCACCTTACAAAACGTTAAAAATTGTCCACAAGGAAAAGAAAAGTCGAAAAGATACAAGGGAAAACACCGAACACAATAGAGGTAAAAGAACAGCGAATGAGCGGCATCAGACTGGTGCTAAGATAGACCCACGCGTGCACGCTGACCAACACAGCCACAGAGTCCCAGGGAAAGTTCGGCGGCATCACGGAGTGGAGAGGCCTGGCCAGACCACGGTGCAGGCATCCCACCCAATTACCACCACCCATCCCTAACATGCCACCTTCATCCAGTCACCACCACCAAGCCCCACACCACCTTCACCATCCCATACCCCCGCCCAATTACCACCACCCATCTGTACCATGCCACCTCGACAAAAGTCACCACCACCAGGCCCCACACCACCTTCACCATCCCATACCCCCACCCAATTACCACCACCCATCCGTACCATGCCACCTACACTCAGCAACCACAGACCCATGCCACTGCGATGCAGCTACGGCAAGGTCATTTGAGCCTCTAATGCAGGGGTGGGGAACGTCCGGCCCGCGGGCCGTACAAGGCTCACGAAGTCATTTGGTCTCTTCCAGCCATCACATCAGGGGTGAGTTAATGAAATGTTTGACCAAATATAACAGGCTAATTTTGAAGTTGATAATTTTGTATGGCCCGCGAATGATGTTATAAATATCCAAATGGCCCCTGCTCTAATGTAACACCTACAGTACATCTTTTTTTGATGATGTTTTTTTGTGGTGGCTGTTAATATGTTAGCATTCAGATTGTTCACCATAAAACGCTAAGTTGTTTCTCAGTGTTACTCAGGCTTTCAGTGTCATTTACACCTAGCACGTGCCTGTTCTCACCTCTTCATAGATGGGTCACTATAGGATTATGCAACAGGAAATGTTCCATAATCCACGTCGTTGACAGGAGACCTCTGCTTGTATTATGTTTACCTCTGCTCACACACATCCGCTCGGGAATACATTATCTCTCATTGACCCAGTTGATGCCTGTGGTGGCCTGCCTCTGCCCCACTTTTCATCACCCATTGGCCTCGTTCGCCATACAATTATGCCAGCACCTGCTGCACTGTCGCCCATGCATCTGTTGCCATCCTTCTGCTCACCATCGTGTGCCACTTATTCTATCGTTGGCTCTGGCCCGGTTGCCCACTGCCGCCCCCTGCTGCATTGCTCTTCTGGTGGTAATAATAATGCCATGAGCAATGTTTCGCCGAGTCTCAAATGGTTCAAGGTGGCCAAATGCGTTTTTTTAATGCACAAGTTTTGCACGTGGATGGAAACCGGAGAAGTACCGTGCATATAAGGGGAGCTCACTGCTGGATTCACAGATGACTGCATTGGGAGTTTTGCAGTCATAACATATCCTCATGATCAAACCATGCGGATACGTTTTCCAGATTGAAAAGTAATTTCTTTAGAACTGATTTCTTGTGTTTAGTTTGTTGTCCCCCCCCCCGCACCTCCGATTAGCACGGTTGGTGACGTACGTTGCGATGAGAAAGAAGTTCAACATTCATGCATACAGAGCACTGGGTTATAGGTGGGAACCACCGGTTACCTTCTCATGTTCTCCATTGTGGCATAAATCCGCTTAATACAATAACGTTGGGAGATACATAGCGTCTAAATGCATCCATGTATCAGGATGGTGTTTTACAGAGTAGTTAGACCCCGTGTATCTCAGGGACAAAATTGATGTAAATATTCGTTTTTATTTTAGACAAGTGACGGTCATTTCGTAGGCAGTGGAAGAAAGCTTAAGGAGAGTCGGTGGCACGGGTGGCTGGGGGGGAGAAATTCTAGAACATGGAAGCACCAGAGGAGATGGGTGAACCTCGCAATTGTGGCGTCAACATACGGCCTTGGTTGGCGGAGCACACGAGTAACCATTAAGTTCTTTCACAACGACAAAAGGAGCAACCGCTGCCATTGGTTGCTCAGTGCCGATGACATCACCACTGCATTTGTACCAGGCGAAGTGCACTTTGAGATCACGTTAGTGCGTTGAAGGTTCATTGGCGGGAGGTCACGGGACAGATAAAGCTGTCGTGAGTTACAGACCATGTTGGCTGGTGCATTACTCGCCAACCAGCTTATGCACAGTTGACTACTTATTCATCCGACCTCTGACACTGTATTGCCTTGTTTTCCCACCGATTGCTGCTACGACAACACAGGGCCAAGAGGAAGGTGCGCAGATTGACCCGTGGGAAGATTCGGATTTCCGCCTCTACAAAGTCACGGATCGTTTTGGCTTCCTGCAGTGAGTGACTCTGCACAGAGCCTGCGTCTGTCACACCGTGCCTTACATCCCTCTCTCTGCATAATCACGCAGGGGATGGAGCAGTGTTGTCGTGGACAGTGCACTGCGCTGTGAACACAGCGACCCGAGTTCGATTCCTGGCCACGGTTAACATTGCCGGCAAACGATGTCTGAATCGGTATTGGCCACCCCACTCCACCAACCCGCATTAACCAGTGTGGTGAAGTTTGGTCAGACAACTCCCATGACCAACATGGCGTGGGGAGACCATCCAATGATGGATAGATCGTAGTCGATGATTCTAATAATAATAGTGCCAGATCCTTATACTCGGCTGATTTAATTCTAATTGCGCTGACTGGGCGAGCCAGAATGTGAACTTGATGCGAGAAGGGCAGGTGAAATCTGTAAAAACCCCCAAGTCAGCGTTTGTTCACGTTGTTAAAGCAACGCGCAATGCTCTTCTTGCTTTGCGAAAGTCAATCTCGCGTTAATGTTCTGGCAAGGTTGGCTGCGTGCTGAGCCAGAGGCCACCGCGTCGCACCGCCCCTGCCCACACCGGGTGCACGAGTCTGCGTCGGCTCTCCTCTCTCCAAACTTCCCTTCCAATTAGAGCGCCGGTGGCTCTGCCCCCCCTCCGCCTCTCACCCTGCCCCCCCCCCCGTCCCCCCTCCAGCCACACAATGCAGCAGCTGACGCCGTAGTTTTGTTGCGCTTACGCCCGCTAATTGAGGCCGCTGTGGAGCAGTCGACCGCAAGCGGGTGAAGCGAAGGTGGAATAAAAACCGTGTCCTTTATGGCACGGGAGGTCGCCGGAAAACCCTCGGAACCCGACACTTATCGTAAATGCGATTTCCCTAGTCAAAAAAATATTGGCCCGATCGGCGAGCCAAGGGCAGGTTAATTGCAGCGCTGTGGCTCGTATTGTTCTTGGTGCGTGCCTGTCTGTGTGCGTGCACGCTGACTCGGCAGCTGGTCTACACTGAGCGGATTTAATAAACAAACGGGACGTTGAGGGAGTTGGCATCTGCCGTGGCTGCCCATGTTGCTGCTTGTTTCCTGACGAGTTGATACGTGTTTGCTTTATTTGATTCAATTTATGCACACCACGTTGAACGTATAAGGGTTTTGTTTACTACTTATTGTCTTCCTACGGAAAACCATTACATCTGTTGCTTAAAAACATTTTATATGATCAACATCACTGCACGGACTGTAAGACGGTGAATGTCTGTGCCCCCTCTCTGAATTCTGAAGAAGGGACATAATTGGTAAAAAAATGGTACTCAATTTTTCTGTAATAAGCTGGTATTTTATTATTTTATTTATTACGCTTGCATGCCAATGAAAGTCTCACTGAGTCGCATGACTCATTTAAGGAGGTTTCTGCCAAGATTTCACAGTAGTGGGTGATGATTGCTTCCAGTTGAGTGATTAATGAGTTTTGTTGATTTCTGTTTATGAACAGACAGTAGTGCTTTGTGTGATCTCAATATCTGTCGCAAAAGTTAACATCAGTGAAGTTGTATGTAATAGATCTGTATACATTGTATATGGACAAAATTTAACCTCTGCTACCCATTCATATTTCAGTGAAGAAGAACTTCCAATTCCAGATGCGGAAGAAGGGAAGGTACAGTTTTCCCCACCAATTTTCAATATATTTATTGGAATAAGACTTACTTTGAAAATCCAAGTCAAAGTGTATTTATCTGGTGCTCATCTCCACAGATAACCCTGAACCAGTGGTGTTAATTCCACATTCTTATGACTGGGCCCAGTCACTGAACTTGGAGTCTCTTTCATTCTTGAGCTTGACTGTGGTATTAGTGACTCACACAATTGCTCATCTCAACTTGCACTACAAAGACTCTTGCTGTTCAAACGAACACGGGCCAGCACGCAGCTCTGCTGGGCGGTCATGTGTCAGCAGTGGAAATTCCGTGTTCAGATGACTGTGGCTGTACGAAGATGATAGCAGGTCATTTCCACAAAGCGCCACCCATATTAATAACCCTGGAAGAATAATGGGCGATAAACTGGAGCCTCTGCGAGACTGCGTCTGGCTCATTGGTAAGCGTGATGACCACCTGTCCATCGAGCTGACTGCTCTGCAAATACCAGGCGAGAACAACTGATGGCCCACGGTCTGTATCTGGTCAATTACTTGATTTCGTACGGTTCGTGACCACTGCGAAACGGCCCACAAACGATATTTGTATCCCTCACTCCCAGCACTTAGCCACGCGTGCACTTCAGAACTGCGAGCTGACATCAACGCGTTAGTGAGAGGAGGGCAGGGCCCTCCGTCGCATAAATGCATCAAAGGCGAGCCCATATTATATTTGTATTATTATTTTTGGGTAACGTCTAATGTGCGTTTTAACGTGTGGCCCTCCTAATGTTATTTGAAAGTTCTGTTCGGCCCAGGGTAAGGGAATGGTTCCCCAGCCTTGGATTATACAGACACGGGTAATTGTGCTGCCTATGAATCCGCTCTTGTTGTTCACAGATCAAAGCGACGGAGGTGGAGAGGGTCGCCAAGTGGCTGAAGATGGTCAAGACTTGGGATAAATACAAGAACACCGAGAAGGTGCGCAGAGGCAGGCTGCATTGGGCCTGCAAGTACTCGTGGCACGCGCTCACTCACCGCCACTGCAATATCACAGTCACCGGCAAAGTGCGTCGTTTTTAAATATAATTTCTTTGAACGAGAGGCTTGCTGAGTCTCGGCACTCATCAGGGAGGTCACGCGTAATGATGTTTGGTAATTTCCTTAATAAGACGTAGTATTCTGCATGTGGGAGGAATTCAGTGCCCAAAGACAGGCGCTCTCACTCACCCTTGCTGTGCTGCCATCTCCTGGACACCTCGCAGATCTGCGGGTTTGGGAGTTTCACACAAACGTGTGATCCACCAACACACTCCTACAAACCACTAGATTACAGTTGTTCGCCACCACCACCACGCTCAGAGTCGAGTCACAGTGCTCTTCCTACTCAAATGGCGGTAGTTATTATATCGACCCTTGAGGGATAATGGACCGAGTCAAACCCCCCCCCCCTATAAGGATTTTAACTCTCCTGCAGACGTGTGCTTACTCTGCCCAGAACACTTAACAGCACTCGCACGTGAATTCTTGATGCTCTTGTGTCCCTCCCCACATCCCCTCCCTGCCGTGCGGTCTCTGCAGATGGCGCGCCGCGTGTACAAGGGACTTCCGCTGCAGCTGCGTGGGGAGATCTGGTCGCTGCTGCTGGAGCTGTCGTCGCTCAAGGAGGAATTTTCCGGCCTCTACGAGGTCAGGCCCAGCGTCCTTCTTCCTCCCGCCCTCTGTAGCCACCGATTGCTCCCTCTGAAGTTTGAAGTTTTAATTGGTGTCACCCGAGGTAGCTCAGGAGTTGCAGCACTGAGCCAGAACCGCAGAGATTTTGAGTTTACGTTCAGGCGATCGCCTGTTCTCAAGCGTGGTTGATGGTCTCAGCCCGGTCAGCAATTACTTTGTCATATTGCATTTGGTTTTGCACTTAAGTTGGCTAATTACCAAAGAATCTAAAATATAGCCTCGATAACATGCGACGGATATTACTTTCGATTATCCGTGAGTGGATTGTTTGGCTTTTGGATTCACCATGCTTGTCAAAAAATTAATACAAATATTTACGTGCATGAGGGTCAATGACTCGGTGCTCACTTTACCGTGAACTTGTCCGCAAGTAAATCGGTTGTTTTAAGAAGCAATAAAGTCAGACAAAGCATTGTACATCTTAACCCCCATTCTAAGTAGGTAAACAATGCATGCATTATCCGGGTATATTTTTATCCCAACCAGCCCTCCTTAATGACCCAGTCTCATGGAGATTGGACTGTCTGTGTATTGTACTATGTAAGTCTTAAGCCGATGGAGGGTGTCTGTTTGTGTGGAAAGTGGTAGCGCATTAGTTAACCCACTGTGCTACAAACTCATTGACCCGAGTTCCATTACCACTCGCAGCCAACGTCAGTGACGAATATCTGAACTGGCCCTGAGCCTCCCCTAGGTTGACTTGGCCTTAAATGAGTATGTAAACCTCAGCACTGGGGAAACAAAGACGGCCTGGACGTGATTTTGGCCACCTGACCCCTGGCCTGCATAGGTGCTCGCTAACAGCGCTTGCCCCAACAGTTTGTAAAAGCTATACGGGGGATCTCTGTCTTCGTGTGCGTTTGTGAGCAGCAAATGAAGCAGCGAGCGCGCATGGTGTCCCCCGACGTGCGCCAGATCGACCTGGACGTGAACCGCACCTTCCGCAACCACATCATGTTCCGCAACCGCTACGGGGTCAAGTCAGTGACCTCTCATTCTCCTCCTACCTTTTATATCGCCACAGTTAACTTAAACCATCACACGAACTCCGCTCATCCTGACAGCATCCTCACAACATCCTCGCAGCGGCTTTTGGCTTAGCAATCGAACAAAGACGGTCACCACAGAGCGCGCTTTCGGATGCGCTTCTGCGGCCGTCTGGAACGCTCTTCCTTCCGATATTAGGAATCCACTGGAGCTATGCACTTTTAAATCTCGATTGAAAACTAATTTTACGAAACTACTTTTTATGTTTAGTTTGTTGTCCTTCCCCCGCACCTCCGATTAGCACGGTTGGCTACATACGGTGCGAAATAAGTTCAACATACACACATACAAACTGTTTGGCCTTGACCTTCAAGCTGTTTGCAAAATCAAGTACCGCTGTGCATATTCCTGTTCAAGCGAGTATTTGGCGGTGTTCGTCTTCCTTGCGATCCTTAACCAACGGTGGAAATTCCACATTGCTGTGATGGAATCTGTCTCAAACGGTTGTGACATTCTCCTGGAAGAGAGATAAAATACTTAATGTTTGTCTTCGCTATTGTTATAATATGTGAATATCAAAGTCACAATTTGCATATCGGTATAACATGCTTGTTAGTGTGGGAAGCATTTGCATACGATGCATTATTGCCAGATTTTTTAAATTCTATTAAGGCGAAATGCATTGGTAAAACTACTTCGTGAGCATGATGATTATTTTGTTCCATTCAATCTGGCTTGTGAAGGTTAGGGTAACGGTATTGTTTGAGCTCTTGACTCACAATCGGAAGGTTGGGAGTGCAAATCTTACTCTACATCATCCCTCTCAGATGAATAAAAATGGGTACTGCTAAAGTTGTAAATCAACAATGGTCATTATTTGCTTTACCGACGATTTTGTCCACGGTCCATACATTGTGAATCTACATGCCACACCCCAAATACCCTGGGGGCATAAACACCTGTCCTTCTGTGAACTTGCATCACCACTCATTTTACCTCCGCACTGGAAGCCCTCCGCGATTTGACTTACAGGGCCTGGCACCGAGATGGGCGCCACAGTGGCGAGATGTTAACTACCTCGCCTGGTATACAGGGGAGGTTGTGGGTTCCATCCTGACCCTGATGCCTGTATATTTGGAGTTTGCATGTTTCTCTCCCCGTGGTCACGTGGATTTTTTTTACGGGGTCCTCCGGTTTTTCCCTGCACATTTATAAACAATGTGCATTTAGAGTATTTTGCTGCTATAAATTTCCACATCATAAGCCACTTCGTTGAGCTATCATTTGTGGCCAGGTCGCGTCTGAAAAGACCTGTATAGCTCGGTGAGCTATAAATAAATAAAAAAGTAGGTGTTAGTTTACGTCTTTGTTAGCTACACTGTCTTTACGTTTCATATAAAGCATGACTGCTTGTGCGCGCTTAAAGTCTCAGTTCACCGGTAACTGTGATGCCGACGTTTTATTTTGTGTCACACAGGCAACAAGCCCTGTTCCATGTGCTGGCTGCATACTCCATGTACAACACGGTAAGAACTGCGCCATAGTGAGTTGAACTCACCTCTTCATACGCCCAAAGATGCAGTAGTGTTGGCTGACAGAACACAGACTCTTTTGCCCACCCACCAATGTAATATTATCCAGGCCAGATGGGCACTGTGATTTGAGTGCTCAAGGCCTAATAGGAAGTTTGCAAACTTTGTGAACCCATCATCTCTCCGGGGTCTCTAAAATAAGCAATACTTTGTCTGGAGTCAACGGTTGCCAGCCTATGGAGAGACTGACCCCAGACTCTGTATAATGAATTAATTAATTTAATGGAGTGTGAGGACTGCACTGGTTTATAGTTGGTCTTTTAAATATGCTTTTAGTTTATATTCTGTTAGTTTAATTTAAATGTTAGTACATTGTCTATTTAATGCATCAAATGATCAGTAATGTTAAATGTGACTTGTTATCTTCAAGTCTAAAGTTAGATTGACCAGAAATTGTATATATTTATTTCTTGTCCTGGCCACCCCACGTGCCCTCTTCATAGTTGAATTGTCTTTGGGATTACACACGTGTAGTGTCCTGTGTGCTGATGCCTCCAGTCACGATGCACTTTCCTGTGATCACATCACTTCCTGGTGACCTAACATTCCTGGGTCAGGAGCCATAGGAAGCTCCTGATTGCCCAGGTTGCTTCATAAATTGAGGCTGCTGAAATCAGACCTGAGCTGGATTCCCAAACATTTCAAGCTACGTTGTATCTGCCTATGCATATATACGTGTGCATACCTTTATACATGGTCGATGACCATGGCACCCAGAATGTCAGATGTTGGAAGATAAGCAGGATTGAGTCTGGGATAGTGCTTGGATGGGCAACTGTCATGCATGAAATGGTTGTTCTAGGCTGCTACATGGCTGTGTTGTCAGCAGAGAACAGTGCAGCAAATCCATTGTAGTACATTCCAATGTCTGTGCCCCACCTTCACACACCTGCACTGACCAGCACGGTGAGATATGGATAAGTAACCCCCACAACCTGCATGGCGCATGTTGGTGAAGCCCGAATGTAGTCGATTGACCTAAAGGGCTGTACATGGACAATTGTGTATGAATGTATATATATACATGTGTGTGCATCTGTACCACATATCAGGAGGTGGGCTACTGCCAGGGCATGAGCCAGATCGCTGCGCTCCTTCTCATGTACCTTAACGAGGAGGATGCATTCTGGGCACTCGTGCGCTTGCTGTCCGACAATAAACACGCCATGCACGGTGAGTACTCCTCTCCCACACTGCAGCGCACGGTGTTTGTGTGTGTCTATATAGTGTATGTGTGTGGGTATATCGCAGCAGTGGACAAATATTCTGACCCCCACAAGCCCCATACCAAAGTCTTCATATGGTCGACGGCTTTCAAGGCACAGGGTGGTCACTCGGCTGATTCGCTCGCAGCTGTTTTAATTTAGAAGTGTGTGCTCGTGTCTGGCTCTGCTGCCAGGGGTGAGTGCCCTTGGTCGCTCCTGCTTCCACAGCCTTTTTCCCCTCTTTCAAATGGAATTTTAGTAGAAAAGTAAAACAGTCATCTGCGTCTCTATTGAGCCGAGCTTGAACTGCCCCGGGAGGTGATTGTGGCTCACGAGCAGTGGTGAGTACTCGGAGCAGTGGTTCAAGATAAACTCTGGGCCATTCCTACCATCAGTTGCTGTTGGAATATCGTGACACCATCATGGGCCCTCCCCTTAAGTCAACACAGCCTAAAATAAGTTCCTGGTAATGTGCGACAACATCGGCCTGGGGAAATAAAGGCGGCCAAGTGTTTGTGTGGTGTCGGTGACGCCGACTTGATGCAAGTGCCTTGCCAACTTCAATAGGTTTTCACAAATAGCATTTGTAGTTGTTGCAGGCTAACAAGAATGTTCATCTTTACTCTGTTAAATATAAAAAAAACTTTTTTTATTTTATTAAGTGTCCCTTAAAAATGTGATGTGTAGTTCAACATTATCAAGTTAAAATATCAACATACCATTCCATTCTCATTGGAGACACGCTTGAGATGATATCAAGATCAAAATAAGTCGATCTCTTCCCTGTTGTTGATCCTGATCCAGTAGTGGAAATTCCACATTGCCGTGGCAGTAAAAATCCTGGATAACGTGTGTGTGTATAACCATGTGCTCCTTCCCGGCCCTCTGCTCCTCCCCAGGATTCTTTGTGCCGGGCTTCCCCAAGCTGATGCGCTTCCAAGAGCACCACGACCTCATCATGAAGAGGTTACTCCCCAAGATGAAGAAGCACCTGGTGAGGGGTTGCCTGTGTTTTTTTGTTTGTCGGCATCACCGTCTGCTGGAATTCTGTATTAACATTATTACATCTCTGCAGGATGCGGTGCAGAAAGGGCTTTGTGGGAGGTGGGCCGTCACCTCATTTGGTTCAACTGCACTAAGTGCGTTATTCCCCCAAGGTTAGACCTGGGGTCAATTATAATTACATTTCCGAAAGCAATATTAACTAAAATTACTGTTCAATTACATCGTGATTGCAATTAATTACGCATTTGACAATTAACAATTGTAATTGACTGCAGGTCTGCCCAAGGTTTCGTGAAAGAGTATAAAGTCAAGTTGCACCAACATTCAATTCAGCATGCTGGGCTGGCACTTAGCAGGTTCAGGTTATCGTCATTGTTAAAGTTGGAGCAGATGTGATGAAGGCCTCCCCAAGTCGTCGCCACCTCTCACACATGACCACAATGCAACAATCCTTCGAGCTCCGCAAGTGATCGGATATCATCACTCCATCTCCGCGGATTAATATCCTCGGGCGTGCTCCCTCCATTGGCTGCCACTCTAGTTTAATCTTAACCATCATTCCTCCTCCCTGCCTAAGCCCACTTGCTTAACAGTCAGTGTAATGCGTCTAACTTTTCTTTGTTCTCTGGCCCAGAGCTTGGATGTGTCACACAAAATGGGAGTGGCTGTTTTATTGGCTGCAACTTCCTTGAATTCAGTGGCAGTGTTGTATTATAGAATGGACGCCCCCATATGACCAATCTGCCATCTGTTCCTCCTGTTCTGTCTCCCCTTGTCCCGGTCTGCTCAGGATAGCCAGGAGATCTTCACCAACCTCTACACAACAAAGTGGTTCTTCCAGTGCTTCCTCGACCGGGTGCGTTTGCTTTTCACTATTGTGACATTGTAAGTTGTATCAGCAGCATCATCATCATCCATCTATGGCCCACGCGTGATCGGTAACTTCTCTACTGCCCCCCCCCACCTCTCCTCTAGACCCCGTTCACGCTCACGCTGCGGCTGTGGGACATCTACATGCTGGACGGAGAGCGGTTGCTCATCGCAATGGCCTACACCACGCTCAAGCTGCACAAGAGTGAGTCCTCCGCCTGCCACGTGCTCCGACCCCGCACCCCCGATTATCACGTTTGGCTACGTATGGTGCAAAAGAACTTTAACATACATACAGGAAGAGCATTCCAGAAGGCTATAAAGGGGGGAAGGGGTCGTTGTCTTTGTGCGCTTACACGCGTGTGTGCTTCTACCGTTTTGCCTTACGCGCAGAGCGGCTGATGAAGATGGAGATGGAGGGCCTCGTGGGCTTCCTGCAGCAGTCGCTGAACGAGGACTTCCTCTACGAGGACCACTTTGTCATCGACCAGCTGCACAACAACATGGCCGAGCTCCGGCGCAATAAACTCCTCCAGCCGCCCCCAGGTGGGTAGTCGCATGTCCCCTCGGCCTCTCCGCCGCGTCGAGCCTCACGCTGCCGCGGTGAACGTTCTTAATCGTTCGCGGTGTCACGTCGTGCACAGCCACACAGCGGGTCGAGTCGTGGACTCCCAAGCGGAGGGGCGCGAGTTCACGTGATTATTCGTACTGAACTGAGCCCCCGTGCGATGATGGATAAATCAATTCAGGATCACGTGCCAAGATTCCATCTTTGTCTTTTATGTGCCGCCTCATTTCTATCATTCATCTTGGCAATTCCTCCTTCTCTCGTGTTTTTGTCTCATTTGATCTGTGATCTTAAAGATAACAGTTGTTTATTATTTTAATGCAATTCGCATGATTTGATGCGTGCATTGCAAGCATAATTAATTATTTTGATGAATGGATCATTAAGTGCCCTCCTTACGACAATATAATAATTGATAAAAATGCTTTGACAGTATTCATTCATTGGTAATAATGGCCCCTGCCTTGAGAATGTGAAATTTCCACCCTTGGCGTTGTGCCACCGATGAAAATGAGTCACTCCCTGAATGCTCAGTGGGGAGATACTGTTTTTTAAATATGAGTTGAGACAAAGACGAAACACAAGGATGTTGTGGACGATCGTTTTATTGTTAACCGTGTTGAAAACATGCGTTCCTTTCAACGCTATTGTAAATTGGTTTCTGTTTTGTGTGTGCGTATATTATGGACCTTTGAAATGAACAGACAGCCAATGCAGTCCGTCCATAGTTACGCTACTCGCTGAACGTAGACTGCTGCTTTCTCTTTCCACACAGGCAAACAGGATGAGTTCCCCCAGCGTCCGTTTGGGCAAATGCCACCTGACAGCCTCACCATCCTCGAGGCAAATGGCGCCGCTAATGGACAGAACAGACAGCAGCAGCTGACACCGACAAAGGCGGCAACGATCACAGCGCCAGGGCCGGCACGTACTCCGTCCCCGCAGGGGAACGGAAAACGACCGGCGCTCTTGCCTCCGCGGAGACTTGATGGGAACGTGAGAAGTGTGACCACAGAAGCTGAGAACCCAGCAGCAGCAGCGGCAGTGGCATCAACAGCACCACCAGCAGCAGCAGCAGCAGCAGCATCGGGTGCGATGGAGAGACCAGCGATAGAAACGCATGCACAGAAGCTTCCGAGCGACGCAAACTCAAACCAGAACGCCGCTCCTGGTCCTCGCGTAGACAAAGACAAAGCGGGGGCGGCGGCGCTGGCAGCCACTCCCAAGTGGAGGAAACCAGCAGCGGAGGCTGTGGCAACAACGTCGACAGCAATAACATCGTTGGTGGTGCCGGTGGGAGGAGGAGGAGGCCCGGTCCGACCCGGCGCCGTGATCCGCGTGGACAGCGTGGGCCGCAGCGCCTCCCAGCACTCGCTATACGACAACGTGTCGTCCGAGCGCGAGGCTGACGGCCCGGTGGCCGCTTGGGGCCTCCGAGATGACCGCTTTCTCACGAGCCCCAGCAGCAGCAGCGGCAGCGCCGTCACCAACGGCGAGACGCTCGCCCGGCCGCAGCGCCTGCCGGTGGTGCCGCCCCCCCGTGAGTACGGGAGCACAGACCACATCGCTTCTCCGCCACCGGCAACTCGGCATCGGCAGCAGCGGCACCAGCAGCAGAAGCAGGGAGCGCCGTCGCAATCAATGAGCCGTTCGGCCTACTCTAGTCCTGCGCGGTCACCGTACGGAGCCTGGACGGACACGGTTCCGGTGTCGGCGAGTTACCACGGGCCACCGGTGGCCGGCACCGTGACCCCCAACGGCAGCGGCGGCGCACACCTCCTCGCGCCGGACGGTTCCTTCGACCGTGCCGACGGAGCGGCTTGGGCTGCGGCGGCGGCGGCGTCCGCAGCCGGGCACAGCGCCAGCGCGGACGGGAGTCTGGACGGGGGTCTGGACGAGGGGCGGCACGCGCGGGGGGGCGGCTGGGCCGTGACGCGCGGCAAAGTCGTGGCTCCCGCGCCCCGGCACTGGGCGACGGCGCCCGCGCACGCGTCGAGCGAGGGCGAGCTGCTGCTCTGGCCCGACGGGCAGCAGCAGCAGCGCTGCGTGAGGCAGGCGGAGCTGGTGCGGAACGTGGCGGCGGTGGCGGCGGTGTCGGTCGGGCCCGAGCGCCAGCGGTCGCCGGGACACGCGCAGTACCCGCCCTTCCCCGCCGACGACATCAGGGAGACGGCGGTGCTCTGAGCCGCGGTGGCGGCGCCCCTGGTGACTCCCGTCCTGCGCTGCTCCTGGATTTTAAAGTCGAGGTTGGGGTGGGGTTGGCAAACTTGGACGTTGGGAATGGAATGCGGCAGGAGGGGCCGGGCATTGTAGGTGTAATTCGGAAGAGGAGGTTTTGATGGCGGAGGGCAGACGTCGGTGGCGACCAAGCCGGATTGTGGCAATGAGATTGTCGGACCTTGGAGGCCGTGTGCTGACTGTGCAGCAACTTCAGGATCTGGCTTACGGAAGGAGGCGATGTTGAATGGTGGCACCATCAAATGGCATCTCCACATGTTCATATGGTTTACGTTTTTATTGTTCGACCCCACCAGAACTTGACTTCGTTTCCGTGAAACTATGGGGGTTTCTTTTTTTTAGCTGACAAAAGAAATTTGACTTGCGTTGTGTTCAGCAGCACGTTTTTTTTTTGTATCTCGACACAGAGATGAGCTTTAATCGGCGGCGTCTCTGCGAGCCGAGCAATTTTACAAGCGTGTGGCTCGCGAATTTTGCATAACGGATCGAGACAGCCATCGTACACCGACCTATCGGACCTCTGACTACTCGAATAATTTTTACGCTTTGGTTTTATTTTTTTCATTTTGGATTTGTTTTGTAATTGTCGTTGAAACGGCTGTAAATAGTGCGGTGTGCGGTCAGGTGTTTAGCGATTCTAACTGTTACACAAGAACGTTACGACAACCAGCATCTCCTCAGGAAAATCTCACCCATTGTTTGATCTGATCATGTCCTCCCATGTTAAATTGTTACCAGAGTTTTTTTTTATTTTTAAGTACATTTTTTTTAGTGCTGTGCCGCATATTACTTCACGAGATTCCCGTTTCTCTCTCTCTCCATTTACGCTGTCAGCGTACACGCGTGGGTTTTATCCAGGTGCTCCAGTTTCCTCCCACGTGTCCATTGGCTGAAAACATCTTAGTATATGGAGGACTGCAGAGCTGTGGCAATTGTTGGTAGCACCGGCTCACTGCCCGACTGCTGCCTCCCAGCTTGTCTGTGGTTCCTCAGCGAAATGTAAGATGCAATCGGCATGAACGATGCAATATTTTTATACTTAAAACAATCTAAATGTTTATACATTTCATTTCAGCTTATTAATAGGCATGTGAAATGATTACTAGCCAACCGTGCTAACGTCCGATTAGAACAGTTGGCTACGTACGGTGCGAAAGAAGTTCAACATACACAAATTCATACTGAACTCAACCCCCATGTGACGATGGATGAATTGATTATAATCAATTGAGGATCATGTGCCAATATTCCATAATTGTCTTGTTTGTCTTCTATCATTCATCATGTCAGTTCTCTCTCGTGTGTTTGTCTTATTTGATCTGTGATCTTAAAGATAACAGTCTCTTGTTGTTGTAATGTAATTTTCATAAACCTTAAATAATCGGAAGGCACGTAATTTGATACGTGCATTGTGAGCATAAGAAACGATGTTGATGAATGGAGGATTTCATGCCTCTTGAAGGCAATAGCCAGCTTGTGTATAGATCTCGAAATGTTGTCAGCTCTGTTCTCGACTCTCATTTTACTTCTCTCATTGTTCACGGTTACAATTGGGGACTCTTTTTTATTCGGCGAAAACGGCAGCAACGTTTTTTTTTGTCAGTTTCATTCTTCGTCTTTCATCTAACCAAGCAAAAGTCCATTCACAGACAATGATGTCATTTGCACAAAATGTCGATTGATGAATCTCGACCCAACATTTCATTTTGTTAACGGATACCCTTGTTCGTAGACACGTGGTCAGTTTTGTCCGGTCATGTTTGAGTCGGTCTTTCACAATTCCGGCTAAAAAAGGCAACTTGCGATCGCTAAAGCAGAGAGGCAGGCTCCGTGGTGGCACGAGCTGTTCTCTCTTCACAGTGCTTCCCAATCTGACGCAGCCACGGCTGCAATGTATCCACTCCGATTGGCGTGAGATCGATGCGTGTGATTTCTTGTTATGCCTCCGTCAACATGTGCACGGAGTCCACATCGTCCAGAGTTCCACACGAGTGAAATGCCGGCCAGTTAGCAAGGTAGTGTTTCTCACCAGAGCAAAGAACCGACAGTTCTTAGGCTTATCTTCACACGGCCCACAGCCACATGAGGACTACACGTGTAAACGGCCTGCGAACGATATTCATCCCATCAACGCAAGCATCTTAGCCACACGAATTGGGTACTAGATGGGATTAGTTTGAACCTGGCATCAATGTTTCTAATTCTTTTACACGCTCGGTCACTTCTGTCGATTGCATGGGCCTCTTGGAGTGAAGGCCGTGGACTACTGAAAGATGCCAATGTGTGACCCGCCAATAAGGTCTTTGAAAGCTCTATCTGTGTGGCCGTTATTAAGGGAAAGGTACCTCACCCCTGTACTTGAGGGAGACGCCGTTGAGATGGCGGTAGCGGTCTGTTTCTGCTGTTCGGCGAGCGGGTGGCTTGGGATCGTGTTACGCTCAGGCAGACGGCAGTATGGCGTTAGTGCGGTTTTATCGGAACTATTTTTTTTAAACATCGCTTGATTCGTTTCACGTCTGCCTGTTTAGAGTAATTAAATTTATAAACACTCCGCCGGGAGGCGCATGCACCCGTTGCATTTGGTAACCGTTCAGGACTGGAATATGCAGCAAATGGATGAGGAGCAATGGGGGGCGTGGATGGATGATTGGAGGGTGTGAGCTCTGGCAGCAAAAGTTGCGTCGAAGCCAAAGTCTCGCCACTAAAACGAGCGTTTGGGCGACGACCGCCACTGGTGGTGTCCCCCGAGCCAGCGGCGGAAACGCCACACTTGTAGGGTGCGCACGAATCACTCTTCACAAACTGCTTCTCACTTTTGTGGATGCCAGAAAGATGATCAGTTGAGTTGCACCCCACTCCCCCCCCCCCCCCGGCCAGATGTTGAACTCGAATGATTTGGATTGCGAGTCGAATGCTCTAACCACAGCGTCGCTCAGCCAAGTCGGCGTGAACAATACTTGGACTTAGACTTGTTGCGACACACTGTGAAAGGTTTGAACGCCACAATCCTTTGGCAATAAGAGGACATGGGTACTTGAAGAGCACTGCTTGGTGTGTGCTATATGCAGCTCGGTAACAGGTTGGTAATTGGGGGCCAGCTGTGTAAATGGGGAGGCATTGAGCAACGCTGGCATTGAAATTGCACTGTCACTCTCATGACAAAATGAATCTTGTATCACAATTATATCATTGCAATCATGGATTCGACATTGGCGAACATTATTTCCGTGCTGTTGATCGAGTTTAAAGGGGCGAGTTTTGTTGTTAGCTAAGGGTATATTTGTGCACATTTCATTAGAATTTGTTTTTATGCTCACAGTGTTTTCTTGTTTTCTTTTCTGAGTTTGAAATGATGTGTTGCTAAAAAATGAAGGCACTTGATTTGTGGGTGCTCACGTGTGTCTGTCGGTGAGTAACAAAGCAGAGCAGTGGTTTGACTCGATTGGCAGCTCAAAATTCACGAATCGCAGTGCAGTGCAGACAAGTCCAGTCACAGTTTCTTTATTTGAGCACTTGGGAGGTCGTCATCTTCGTTGGCAGTGTCTGAGCCACCGTCGGAAATTCCCCCCCCCCCCCATTACCATTGTATGGGCCGATGTTGAATTCCCACTGAAGTGGCGCCACGGATGGCTGACTGTCCGAGTCATTCCTCAAATGGGATTCAGTTCAGTTTATTTTGAAGTACCCTGTGAGCTAAGAAACCTTTAAGTCGGGTACCATCAATAAAAACACACCGTTTCTGTGACAGACGTAACACATCAGAGAAAAATAAATGAATAATACAATAAATAAAAGGTAAGAACTCACATAATTTGAAATAGAAAATGTATCTTTTAAAAGTTAGAGCCGATTAAATAATTTTAAAAGTGCAAGATTTGCCTTAAAAGTGCCAGTGGTAAACACACCGGATTACAACTCGCAACCCAGCATCTTATCAAATTAACGCGCAAACCCGGCTGCAATCTTGCTATACACACGGTGGAGATTGCGTTACTGTTATTATCTGGTCGTTACTCTGTTAGTGCCGGGGTTTCTTTTTTCAATACATTAAACCAGTGTTTCATTGCCATCTGTTACAAGAAAGAACTCGCCCTCTGACCCCCGCTGTTGATGCATGATTATGACTTCAGTACTTTCTGGCAGGGAATAGTCCCGGACCAAGACACAGCAGGACTCATTCAATGTCGTTTTTGTTCCCAAACCCTTGAGAGAGTGTGCAATGCAGCTCCCGAGGCAGGAGTTTGTGCTTCTTTGCACGTGGAGTGTGGTATCAGTGCCCTCGAAGCAAACACGTGTGGACACACGTGGGACAACTGATCATTGTTGACGATGGCTCCGAGTCCCCCCATAGTCAGTGATCACAAGAGCCCCTCCCTGTTTTACCTGCAGATGTCAATGATGGTTTTAGGCCAGGCTGTCAGGGTTCCTGGCTGGCTCTGTCGTGGTCGTGGACAATATTAATGTTCTAATTATGTCATTTACCGAACCATGAAAGCTTTACGGAATCTGGAGACCATTAGAACCCCCCCCCCCCATTTTTTCACCAGGAGGATCTTGCCGGGGATTTTTTTTCTTGCTTTTAGGGGCACGTTCGAGCTGTCAGATGTTTGTAGGAGGCTCGCTTTGAAGTCCGCATCCCATTGCAAGATGAAATGTTATTTAATGTGTGTTGAGCAATAAACTACTTTTTTAAAAGCAAAAAAATTACAATATTAGCACAGACCCTGATAAAGGCCATTTAATCAGCATATGTAAGGTGAATGCCAGTTATTTTTAAAATAGAATTACTGTAATTGCAAAGAGTGGATTTTATGATTAACAGTACTGCCATAATTGATAGTATTTAAGACAATATGAAGTGTTTTGAATTGGATTTTTTTTACAACCCAACACTTTCCTTACTTTAACATCCACGTTAGCTTTTCCTAGATTTTTTATCCAGGAGTAACTTAATAGTAGAACATGGCGATAATTGATATGTGTTTGTAGAGTAATTTATTGTTTGAAACATAATCACTTCTGCGGATGGAATTCAATTCCCCTGTCAACGTATCGAGTGATTGCTGCCCGTGTCACGTGTGGCTGGTCATCGGTCTCAGCAGTGGCTTTGCCCGTGTGTTGTTTGCACCCGATGGAAATATGGAAAATGCTGCCACCACCACTTCCCATCGTCTCAATTGAATTGTAAGAAGGGTCCAGCACAGTACAATACCCCTAAAGCCATGAGCCATATTTTCTTAACCGTTCTACAAAATCACGTGGTCTTACGGATGTATGTTAATTAGAGGCGTCCAAAAGAATGCACCGCAAATACGTTTTTTAATCAGATTGCTGTAATTATGTTTGATAGGATGTAACAGAAGTCTTAATAAACGTTTATTTTTCATTGTAATGTACGTATGAGAGCCTAGGGGTGTCAAGTGTTTAGTATTATTCGTTTTGTTTACTGTCGCTGTACAGAGAGAGAGAAGCCTTTTTTGCGCCGATGTACATCTTGTTTATTCTCAATGTTGCCTTTCAGTGAATATGTTCATACTGAAGGAAGGGTCCCATATCATAGCAAACCCGCCCCCCATGTACAGGTGCTCTCCGTAGCATAACGCGGCCCTAGACGTTTGTATTTGTAGATAGATTGCCGCAGTATTTATACTCTCGTATTTGTACGCATTTCTCCGTTGGGACTTATTAATGTATTTGCTTCGTAGCCTAAGCAGTGTGCAGCATGTTTTAAAGTTGCACCGTTACCTACTTGGATTTTTTTCATTTTTCAAACATTCGAAGTGAATTTGTTTTTTTTGTCCGTACCGTGTTTTTTTTGTTGTTGTTGTTGCGAGGACAAAAAAATTGTCAGAAAAATTTGTAAAAAAAAAGTCGAAGTCGTTTGTAAATGTGTATTATTAATTTTTTAAATATGATTTTGGGTCTGCACATTTTTGGATGATGACTTATAGCGAGCGTTGTAGGATTCGTTTTATCAGTTACCATGAGTTCAAACAATTGCTTTGAAAAATGAATAAGTGTTTTGACTTGTTTCACCGGCATAATGTGCCCGCTTTTTATAAATGATCTTATTTTAAATATTTATATATTAACAACGTGCATAATGAAGGGAACACATTGATACCGATATGCAATTTCACAATCGCAGTTAAGACATTTCTGATTTGTGATTGAATTCTCCATTTGAAATTTGGAAATGAGCGTCAAAATAGTTAAAAAGTCTGAGTCATGTCTGTGGACACATGATGACCCTAGCTGGATGAGGAAATTCCACGTTCCTATGACAGTGGCCAGCGTCTCCAAAGGACTACCACTATTGATTGTCTGCAAAGTCGTGCTAATCACGTTAGCTCCATCGAAGCGCTGAAGTCGTCAAACAAATGCACAGCTTTCCCAAAACCATACGCAACATGTTTTTTGTTTTGTTACAGCCGGATGACCTTCAGACGTTGTGTGTTGGGCATCCGAAACATTTCTGGTTAATGTCTAATCGCTGGACGAGGCAAGTGAATGTCACATTGGCGGCGTTTGTTCGAGGTCCACGTTCAACCTGGGTCTGGATCATTCACAGAGCATGGGACATCACAACCTACGACGCCCCTATGGGACTATTCACTTATCGATCATGGCTGATGAAGAGCTCGGCCATCTTGATTATTGACATAATCGACGCATCTACCGATTGTCGGTCCGTTTACTCGACCGATCGGATAACGTGCAAGTTAGCTTGGGGGGGGGGGGGGGGGGTGAAGTCTCATCTCTGTTCTTCCCACTTGTGCCGCTGGAGGGGAGGTTATGGGCTCTGGGTTTGGTGAAGATCATCGGCGTCAGTCGCATCATGCTGGGCGTGACTTGCACGGGGGTTTCCTGCCTTTGGGCGGCAGGACTTGTGGCTTGCTGCCATTTTTCCTAAGTGGGCCCGAGTAATCGACCATATAAAAGGGAGTCGATGAGAATGTTTGTTGTCCATATTGACTCTGTAGACCTGTCGTCCCCACCGCTGTTCCGCGTGTGTGGCAGAGCGCTTTTTCGCGCTTCGCGTAACAATCCCGGTGTAACCTGGTGTCTGTCCCTGACCGTAACGAAGGCGGAAAAGTATATCTGAGCCTGTCGGTCGACTCAGCCTTAAGCGATTGAGTACCTGGCGCAGTGAGTAAAAACCATAATCGCCGGGAAGATGAGATGGCCGGGGCAGTGGTGCTGGCCACGACATCTCTCTGTGGTTGCATGCCACCGTTAGTCGGTGCTGCTCATAGCACTTGGCGGTCTCTTGGGCTGAATGTGGATCTTTGCCTCTGTATGCGTGCAATGTGAACAGGGCTTCCCGAGTTGTTTTCGATGGCGGGTTTCGTTCGTGATGTCCGCGTGCATTTTTCTCAAGTCCATTGTGTGTCTCAGCGGTTTTAAACGGTTACTGACACTGCCCGGTGTGGAAGTGTAATGTGAGCGTTGTCACTGCAAACCTTTGCTTCCCAGGCGAACAGGGCATGCCGGTTAGATGATGATGATAATGGTGACAATGTGCGTCGGACCGAGTTATCGATACTCCCCAATGTCTGTACAGGAAGGAACATATTTTTTAGAGATGGATTTTCAATGTGGCTTTACATTAAAAAAACACCTTTGAAATGGTTTGGTTTGTGTGTGTATGTATGTATGAGTTTTTGTCAACGTTTGAGAAATGAGTTACTTATGAATAATTATATGAAACAAATGTCAGGCTTATTTTAAAACCCACCTTTTTTTGTACCGGTCGTACAACGAACAACACGAGTCTGCGCTGCATCGTAAACAACCCGCTTGTATATTTTCTATACGTAAATATCTCATGCCCTGGACATTTTGGAAACTGATAAATACACATTAACCAACAATAAATCATTCAGTAAGCAATAGTTTTTTTTTTAATTAGTAAACAAAGAGTCAATGAACTAGCCTTTTGCCCGTCCAAGGACGGGTGTATTGCAATGAATCTGAAACTTGCAAGCGAAAAGCAGACTGCGACGTGATATTCATAGCATCAATTCGTGTGCAATTTGTAAGGGCGCGGTGACACAGACTTATTTCATGTAAAGGTTATAATCCCTTGATCATCATGACGTCCTTTTTACTTCGATGTCTCAACAACAGCGTGACGGAGACCGCGTGACGTGAGGGTTCTGCCTTTGTAGTGAGGGTTGTGAGTTGACGCCGAGGATGGGGGAGGAGGCGCCCCGCCCCCCCCCCATGTGGAGTGACGTCACCCGCTAATTATTATGAATGGGGGGGGGGGGCATTTGAAGACGTCACCTTATAATGATTATTAATGAGGGGGCTGTTCAATGTGTAGTGACGTCACCTGCTCATGATTATTAATTAGGGGGAGGGTGATCCACGTGGAGTGACGTCACCTGCTCATGGTAATTAATGAGGGGGGCTGATCGATGTGGAGTGACGTCACGAGCGTTAAGGACAGACACTCCTGGGTGATTATAGTGGGTATTGGTAAAGAGTGACCAGAGACATTCTGAGCCAATAGCCCCAGAATGAGATCATTACATTTGTATGACGGTTACAATTTGATGTGAAATTGGTTACGGTACCATGAGCATGCGTATAGTGGTTTGCGCGCTCCGCTACGAAACCTGAGTTCAATTCCCGTTCACGGCCAACACCAGTGATGATTATCTAAAGTTCTAAACTGACCCTAGGTCTGCTTGGCGTGCTGCTGGCCACCCATCCCATCGTGTGCCACAGTGCCGGCCTTAATAGTTGCTGGCTAACAGCGATTGCGATCTTTGTCTTAGTACCATAAGCTCATGGTGGACGACTCACAGTAACATGTAAGCCGATAATACTGGTAAGAACCTCCTGGTTACACCAGCCCACAGGGGATTATTGTGTCCGTCCGTCGTGCATCAAAAAATGGGAGGAGTGGGGCTGGGTGGAGAGGGGAGGGTGGGGAGGGGCTGGGTGGGGAGGGGCTGGTTACCCCGTGGTGCCCTTATAAAACTCAACGTTTAACCTACTCACGCCGCCTTGTGCCCGCCCTCACAGTCGGGCATATTTGCAGAATACACCACGCCGCCGTTGACCCTGGCCATTGGCCGAGCAACCCAACGTTCCTAGCAGCTCCCTCCGCAGGAATGTGTTTAATCGATGCCACGCTGTACCCCAGTGATTGGGCATTCGGCCTGAATTTGGCAAACCTGAGTTCATATCAAGTCACAGGATAATCGACGCAGGTGAAAGTTCAGTTTTGGTGTGTAGCTCCACGTTGCTCGTGTCAAAGCGTGACTTTCTACCCGTGTTGTCTGGCTGCGATGCGCCTGCCCGTTTGATTTGTGCCGTCTGTTGGCAAGACTCGGTAAAGTTTCTGTACGACATGCCAAAGGTGCTGCTCGTGTCATTTTAACCACGTAAGTGCCACTCGCCGTGGTCTGGCGGATTCGGTGTTGCTTCTTGATTTGAAGCTTTCGTGACCGCAGGAATCCATGCTCTTTGGTTCTTTCGGTAAAGTCACGTCGATAGACAAAATAATAGATCACGACGTTTCGATCGCACGTGACTTTAGCGAAAGAACCAAAGAGTTATCGGTGTTGCTTGTTAACGCACAGTGGGCCCCATGAACTTGTGTGAATAAACACTCGCAATATTTTTATATTATTTGTGGTATCACATCAGTGTCTCCATGCTCAATTGAGCAATGGGTTACTGCTCATAATTCACCGAGAGCCCTCTTGCCAATCCACTGTGGGATGAGAGCCTCCCCACGACGAGCCAGTCGTGGGGAGGGTCTTATACATCACGCTGGTGATTGCATGTCGGTAAAGGTGGCTATATACGGGGACATATCCTCCTGGAGGCAAGGCTGCGTTGGTTTGGTCATGTAGCCCGCATGCCCAGCCACCGCGTGCCCAAGCAGCTTCTGTTTGGCCGGATCGAGGGGGGGCAAAACGAGCACAAAACGGAATTGGAGAAGAGATGGAGCTGATGCGGTACAGGAGGATGTGGAGCTGAGTGGACTTGCCGAAGACTGGTATCAGCAATGTCGAGATCGGCCTCTGTGGGGGAGGAGGAGGCTCGTGAATGACGCTGCAACTGGACAGTTGTAGGCAGTCGTCCTCCAACAATAACGCAGGGCAGAGGAGCGATGCTCACAACAACCAGCGGAGCGCCGGGCGGATAAAATACAGCGACTTGGCAAAGTCGTGGGCACAGCTGGTGTGCATCATCTCAGTCAGCCAACCCATGGCACCTGCTGGGTCTGTCCCTAGACCTCTCGGCGAGGTTTTCGACACTTCACCTGGCCTCAAAGTGCACCTAGCCTGGCACAGGCGCCGTGGTGGTTGTCGGCATCGGCCTCGAAGCGGCAACGGGGGCGTCGCGCGAACGCGTTGCGCGACTGCGCGTGATGACATTGGGTTTTGGTTTTGATCAACTCGTCACCGCATTCTCGTGCCCCCCCACCCCCCCAATCAAGAATGAAGTCGATTCGAAGGAAAGTTTCACCTATGCGTTAAAGTTCCACCTGCAGCGGTTTGCGCGGTGGTGAACGCGGCGGCGCTGTGGTTGACCTGGCTCCGCCACTTACCCTTCACGGCTCACGTCAGTGGCGCGAGTGATTTGTCTGACCCGGGGCGCTTACGCACCAATGGCCGCAACTTCACGAACCCATAAGAAAAGCAACGATGGTGAAGTATGGTCAACCCCCCCCCCCCCCCCCCCCACAGTGATCAACACGGCTATATAGCTCAGTGGGCTTTACTTGGTAAAATGAGTAAAAAGTTAGTAAGTTTGGGGAGATCTTCATTGAGCAGTGGGGCTGTTGTTAGTTAATTGGGATGTCATCGGCAGGGCTCCCCTTACCGTGGTGGGAATTCGATACAAGGACCCAGACAAACCAACATTTGCCTTGCTCTGTGACAACTCAGCAAGCACTTCAGTTCCAGGTCAGGGTTCGTGGTGTGTGCAGGGGGCGTTCACAAGTTGTGCAATTACAGCCCTGGGGCAGCTGCCGCCGGAGAGACACAAACAGTGAGAGTGGGAGAGAGGTCTATGTGAGGGTGAGAGACACACACAGAGTGGGAGAGAGATCTGTATGAGAGACAGTGAGAGTGGGAGAGAGGTCTGTGTGTGAGAGACAGTGAGAGTGGGAGAGAGGTCTGTGTGTGAGAGACAGTGAGAGTGGGAGAGAGGTCTGTGTGTGACACAGTGAGAGTGGGAGAGAGGTCTGTGTGAGAGAGACAGTGAGAGTGGGAGAGAGGTCTGTGTGAGAGAGACAGTGAGAGTGGGAGAGAGGTCTGTGTGAGAGAGACCGTGAGAGTGGGAGAGAGGTCTGTGTGAGAGACAGTGAGAGTGGGAGAGAGGTCTGTGTGAGAGAGACCGTGAGAGTGGGAGAGAGGTCTGTGTGAGAGAATGAGAGTGGGAGAGAGGTCTGTGTGAGAGACACACACAGAGTGGGAGAGAGGTCTGTGTGAGAGACACACAGTGAGAGTGAGATCTGTGAGAGAGAGAGAGACACAGACAAGTGAGGCGTCGGTCTGGAGTGAGAGACTCAGAGAGCTGTGAGCGGGAGAGGACGACTATAAGGTCTGTTTGCGCTGCGAGACAGAGGGAGACAGCTATGTAGGAAGCAACCCACAATCAGTCTGGGCTGAATGAGAGACAGAGTCATACAGAGACAGACATGGAGACAGGAAGGTGTGTGAGAGATACACACACAGACACGCACGGGAGAAGTCTGTTTTGTTTTAGTGAAAGTCAGCTACAGACAACATCGAGCTGTCTGAGAAGTAAGAGGCGGGACCGTGTGAGTGGAACATACAGACGAGTAATCTGTCTGGAATTCGAGAAGAGACAGAGAGCTGACTGACGGCCAGGCAATACGCGTCGCAGCTTGTGAGTGAATGGGCAGAGAGAGAGTCAGAGAGAGGGGGGGGGGGGGCACGTGCAGAGAGTGAGGCTGGAGCAGAGTTGAATGAAGCGACACAGAGGCGAGAGGCAGATATGCGGGGAGATCTTGAACTTATTTGGCACCGTACGTAGCCAACCGCGCTAATCGGAGGACGACGATACGTCGGCATATAACAATGGAGACGTGCAATTGTAGCGAAGTTGCGTGGCTGGAAGAGAGAACTAACGCGACAACAGAGAGCGCCCTGTGACGGAAGGCTTCCACGTGTGTCGACCCACCATCAGGACCCACGCTCACCAACATGTGCTCAGCCTCAAGCAACTCCCGCCGCCGGGTCGGCATCGTGGGATACGGCCACCTAGGTAATGTACCCATCCACCATCACGCCTCTCACCCCTCCCTCCCTCCCTCCGCGCTCTGCTCTTCCATCGAAAAGTCCCTCGCCTTGACCACCGCTCTCAGCGTGCCCTCGCAGAGGAGTTCACCACCCCCAGGGGTTGTAATCCTGCACCTCGCAATTCCCACGAGAGACGCCCAGAGACAAACGCGAGTCGCATGCAACAGGAATGCGGCCTTTGCACCATTGGAACCTCATTTGCCAGTAAAAATATGATAATTGGTTTTTTGTACCCTTCTATCTGGCAACAAAACTGACACCTTTTTTACAAGGAGTCATGTTTGCATAGACCGCAATACCTGCAGTCATAATGCAAACAAAAAACATAACTGGCGTCATCTGGTCCAACCCATGTGAGACTAGGCTCTAAGGAAAGCTGTCTCGGGTGTGGACCAATCAACTTCAAGGACAGTGCATACATTATCAGACCACAATACCTGCAGTCGGAATGCAAACAAAAAGCATAACTCTGATAATGTGCACTGTCCTTGAAGTTGATTGGTCCGCACCCGAGACAGCTTTCCTTAGAGCCTAGTCTCACATGGGTTGGACCAGATGACGCATTATGACTGCAGGTATTGTGGTCTATGCAAACATGACTCCTTGTAAAAAAGGTGTCAGTTTTGTTGCCAGATAGAAGGGTAAAAAACAATTATCATTTGAACGATCCTTTGAGTTTTCCCTGACGACGACATTTCGCCAAACCGACGATAGCGACAACGATCTTGCGACTTTCTGTGACCAGTATATTTGACAGATTTTGAAGCTCTGTGTATTACTCGGTAAATTGTCGAGTGCGATTTTTTTTGACGAGGTCTTCTCGCTTTACCCAGCGTCTTGGAGGTTCGCTTGGCTACTTTCCACGGAGTTGTCAACGCTGGCCCCGAGAGTGGCACTCCGCACCGAATCACTGGTCAGCTGAAGGGGCCACATCAGCAGCTTGGCGGCGAGATGTTAACTACCTCGCGGGCTCGATCCTGACCCTGACGCCTGCTGCTGCTGTATATTTGGAGTTTGCGTATCTCTCTCCCCGTGGTCGCGTGGATTTTTCTCCGGGTCCTCCGGTTTTTCCCTCCACATTTAAAATATGCTTTAAGATTATTTGGCTGCAATTGAAGTGGTTACTAGACTAACTTGCCTTGAGGTACTAAAGGAGCCATTCATTTCCCCTGCCCTTCTGAACCCAATCGACATAATAGTCAAAGGATACAAAATCAACACATTTAAAATATATATATTTAATTGGCAACGTTTTGGACAATTGCCCTTATTCACAGCAAATACATAATGTTTCATACATTTTTAAGCCACAGTGTTATTGTCGAATAGGTTGAGTTTTATGTTTTGTTAACTCTGAATGTGCGCCACTGCCAAAGCAGCAGATGCAGCACCACCACCACCACAAGACAAATAGTCTACCAGTGCTCTGAAACGAGACCTCCAGATGTCATGTGGTGATTGGCAACTTGCAAAAGGCTCAGTCGGCCTCTCCAGTCCAGCTGGGGCACTTCCAGCTCATGCCATTAAAGCAGCTTGTAAACGTGTACGTTGAACTTCTTTCACACCGTACGTAGCCAACCGTGATAATCGGAGGTGCGAGGGAAGGACAACAAACTACACATCAAAAGCAGTTTTAAAGAAATGAGTGTTCAATCTAGATTTAAAAGTGCATCGCTCCAGTAGCTTCCTATTATCGGAAGGAAGAGCGTTCCAGACGGCCGCAAGCGCGCGATGTGGTGACCGTCTTTGTTCGATGGCTAGCCAAAAGCAGCTGCTGCGAGGATAGTTTATGTTTCTTGAAGAGATCAGCAATGTATTGTGGTTCATTTGTGGCAAGCACTTTGTGTGTAAGGAAGCAAATATGATTCCTACAAAGCAGTGACCATTGAATTCCATCAGCCCACGCCCTAGTGACTCATCATTCCAGCTGCCATGAGAATCATCTGGCATCACCGCTGGAGACGGCTCTACGGGGGTGATGTTGTCCGCAGAGGCCAGTGCAGAAACACATTGTCCTGCGGAGGGAGCTGGTAGGAACGTTAGGGTTGCTCGGTCAATGGCAAGGGTCAATGGCGGCGTGGTGTATTCCACAAATATGGCCGACTGTGAGGGCGGGCACAATCCGGCGTGAGTTGGTTAAACGTTGAGTTTTATAAGGGCACCACGGTGGTGACCAGCCCCTCCCCACCCAGCCCCACCCCTCCCACCCTCCCCACCCAGCCCCACCCTCCCCAGCCAGCCCCTCCCCTCCCCACCTAGCCCTCCCCACCCAGCCCCTCCCCACCGTCCCCTCTCCACCCAGCCCCACCCCTCCCATTTTTGGATGCACGACGGACGGACGGACACAATAATCCCCTATGGGCTGGTGTAACTAGGAGGTTCCTACCAGTAATATCCATTGCTGTACTGTACTCTGTGTGGACGTTCACAAAAGTGCAGTTCGTTTATAGATAAGCGATAATTATCGACTGATGGTGATTCGTTAATTGGTTTAAATCACTCGGAATGCGCCAAATCTCGTAAGATATCGTTAGCTGAGCTGGTTTGAGCCTGGATAGTGCTCGGATCGGCGGCTACCATGCACAAAACATGCATTGTAGGCTTCTGGGAGGCTACGTTGTCACCGAAGAGCAGTGCGTAAACATTCATTGTTGTACTATACCAGGGGTCGGCAACCTACGGCTCCGGAGCCGCATGCGGCTCTTTACGGACTGCTTCTTGACGATATGTACGTATGTACATCGATGCATTGCGGCTCTTGAAATACTGAATTTTGTACCGAATTGGAAAGAAATGGCTCTTCTTGTTATTTTGGTTGCCGACCCCTGTACTATACTATGCTCCAACATCTATGCTCCTAGTCTTCACCAACCCGCACTGACCAGCGCGGTGAAGCATTTCCAAGTAACCCACACGACCTGCAAGGCGAGGGGATAACCCCATCCAGCAGCGGATCTGCAAAACGACTGTCTCCATCCACAGGGGAGTACCTGGTGCGGGAGCTGCAGAGGGAAGGCGGAACATACGGCCTGGAGCTCGCCTTCGTGTGGAACCGGAGCGCTGAGCGCATGCAGGGAAACGTGGAGCCGGATCAGCAGCTGCGTGACTTGGAGCAATTTGCCGAGAGGTGAGTTGTCCCTGACCATGAATTCCACAACACCTGGTGAACCATCAGTTTTGCCACGGGAGTTGGGAGATTCTTGCAGGAATTGCAACGCATTTCCTGAAATTCTATCCTCGATGATGCCTGCAGGCATCTTACCCAGTTACGAAGGTTTCTAGATTCCATCCAGGATGATTGCTGCATTATATTTTGTGAGTTCGAGATTTAATCTTGGGTTATTCCTGCAGGAATCAATTAATTCATGCAGAGAACATCCAGGATGTAATGTAGGAATCACGTCCTAAATGTTTTCTGCAGAAATCCTATTTGCTTCTTAAAAGTCCACCCTGGATTATTCCTGCAGGAGCCATTTGTGATCCCTCAAATCAATCCTGGATTAACCCCTGCAGGAATCATACACAATTTATAGATTCCATCCTGGACGATTTATAAGGGAATCGAGATTCTTCGATCGCCGATTACCATGTTAACATTTCCAACCATTTGCATGGGATTCTCGCGGCTGATTTTTCCATAGGCGATATGAGCAAACAACACGACATTTTTTTTTATTTTATTCCAAATCCATCTCGGCGAAACTTGAGCGATGCTAAGCACCAATACATAGATGTGTGTCACTCACGACCATTAGTTCCTGAATAAGCACGTGCGTACGCTTGCCTATTGAAATCCACGATGGGCGCGGGGTGTCTGCATTTACCTCTTGCAGTTTGAGTCCTTATTTAATCAAGTTTACAGCTCTCTTTCAGGCCACTGCTTAATGTAAGTATGTTGAACTTCTTTCGCGCCGTACGTAGCCAACCGTGCTAATCGGAGGGGCTTAATGAAGTCTTCCCCCTTGCTGTGTTGGTCATGGGGGTTCCTTTGACCATACTGCACCATACTTGTGGGTGCATGGTGGTGAAGAGGAGGAGGACCATGATGAGATCAGATATCACTCGCTGTCCATGTTCGCAGTGGCCGGAACCCAAACTCAGGTCACCGGGTTAATATCATAGCACTGTGCATGACCCACTGCCACTTGCCAGTAAATTGAATGTTGTGCCAACGTTGAGCAAACGGTTCCAATCGCTTGCTAACGTTGGCCCGACGTTGGCCCGACGTGGCATGTTTACTGAGTCCTCTCCGCAATCGTTTGCTGTAGCGACCTTAAGGGTCTCATCTTCTTGGTTCTTTCGGTAAAGTCACGTAGAAGGGAAGTAATAAAATAATAAAAATAAAACATAATAAAATTATTTTTATTATTTTATTACTTCCCTTCTACGTGACTTTACCGAAAGAACCAAGAAGATGAATCCCTGCAGTCACGAAAGCTTTAAATCAAGACCTTAAGGGTCGCTTGCTAATATCACTCGCCCTGGCGGTGTGTGTGCTCGTAGCGCTTAGCGCACGGTGCTACAAACCCAGCGACTTGAGTTCGATTCCCCGCTTAAGGCCAACACCAATGACGATTATCTGAACCTCCCCTAGGTCAACTCGGCCTCAATTAATACCTGGTGCAGTGGAAACATCGCCACTGGGGAGACAAAGGCGGCCGAGCGTGGTCCTGACCACCCACCCCATCGTGTGCCACGCCGGCCTTCACAGGTGCTCGTTAACAGCACTTGCCCCTAACGGTCTGTTAAGGCTATACGGGGGATCTTTGTCTTTGTCTTTTGCACAGGAGGGCAGATCTTATTGTGGAGGTTTCTCATCCAAACATCTCCAGGGACTTTGGGGAGAGGTTCCTTCAGCACGCAGACTACTTGGTGAGCTGGGGTCATGGGGTCACGTTCGCAGCGTGTCCTCGGACAGCAGCAACAGCAGCAGCAGCTGGGGTGGAGAAGTGAGGTGCACGTGTGGCACCGACAACGCTTTTCTTGTGGAGTCAGTGAAGCCGGCGTTGGGGAGATAAGCATTTGCACTTAAGTTTTGGGATGTGACTCATTTCCTTGTGGCGATACATTTTTGTTGTTCGCGCTTTTTATTGTGGCGCAATTTCTTAATTTTTTTTTTATATTTTGCTCGGTAGTAAGGGCTTTCATTTGCTTGGTAGTGGCTGTATATGGGATTTGGTCCTCATATATTATAATTAATGTGCAGCGTTGTCGGGTGCTATTAGCATGAATAACACTTTATTAAATAAAACATTTCTTATTGCATTATTCATACTACTAACGACGGGTATTTGTAATTCTGTATTATCATGCCTCTTTCAGTGTGCGATATGATTACTGTTACTCGGCTGGTAGCGTAAGCTAAGTATATTTTATGATTACCCTCATTTTGTGCTCAGCAACTGTTACATTTAAACCCCAACAACAAACTCAGAAACAAATTACAGTAATACCCCGACTTACGTCTTCCCATTTTATGTCATTTCGCAAACACGTCGTCACTTTATTTTTAAATCCTTTATATTAAGTTCGCTTGCTTGCCTGCGTGCTTGCCTGCGCGCTTACGACCGTGCAAATCTTTCGGTCGTTTTTTAACCAACTTCCCGTGATCCAATCGAGCTGACATTTTCCACACAGACTCGTTGTGCGTGACAATTAATTTTTGTAAAAAAATCTTTCATTTTTTTTACACTTTTTAGGAAAAAATAAATTATATTTAATTACCAATTGCTTAATGGTGGCAGGCAATCATCTGACCCATAGGTGGCAGCCATCTCAAGCCAGAGGACGAGAGGACTCTAGCCGCCACGTATATAAAGGATTTCTAGTGAAAAACTTTGTTTTTACGGGTTCATTTTTTAAACACCGCAACCCGATTTGCGTCGCCTCAACTCACACTTACGTCGCTGGCAGCGTCGTCCATCCTCTCCCGACGTCCTGTCGCCTTTCAGCCTCCGCCTCCACCACCACCCTGGAAGTCGGGTGGATTCACAACTCTTTGGTTCTTTCGGTTAAGTCACGTAGGTACAAAAATAAAATAAAACCAAAAATAATATATCACGACGTTTCGATCGCAACACAAACGGTCGTCCTCAGGCAGAAAAAAATAATCCAGCAGTGGAACTGCCGGTTCAAGCGGTCGCCTAAGGACGACCGCTTGTGTTGCGATCGAAACGTCGTGATAGATTTTTTGTTTTATTTTATTTTTCTACCTACGTGACTTTACCGAAAGAACCAAAGAGTGTGGATTCCTGCAGTCACGAAAGCTTCAAATCAAGATTGGATTCACAACGTTGCAATGTTTGTCGTCGCACCTTTCAGGAACGCATCCCCCGACGTAAATCGGGTTATTGCTGTCCTTTTCAAAAGCAAACCTTGCACGCATGTACGTACGTTGAACTTCTTTCGCACCGTGCGTAGCCAACCGTGCTAATCGGAATCAGAATCTGTATTTATGCTGGAGGAATCCGATGAGCTATAAAGCTCTTTTTCACAGATGTCCAGTCGGGGCAGGTCAGAACTTTACAACAACAAACATCACAAAAACACAATTGGAGTGCAAAGTATAGGAAAGGTAAACAAATCACCTAAAATATACAAATAAAACTTTTCTATTGGTGATTGTATGGTTGTTCGTTCAACTTCTTTCGCACCGTACGTAGCCCACCATGCTAAGGATGATGATGTTGATGATATTCGTAGGTTTTTTGGGTAAAGTCACATAGATAAAAAAATCGAAATTAAATTAATAAAAGTAAAATAAAAAGAAAGTAATTTATTTTTATTTTAAAATATAATTTTATTATTATATATATTTTTTTTCTTTTATTAATTTTATTTTTTTATCTACGTGACTTTACCGAAAAAACCTAAGAATATGAATCCTTGCAGTCACGAAAGCTTCAAATCTAGGATGTTGATGATGTCCGTATGTACGCTGAACTTTTTTCGCAACCGCACGTAGCCGACCGTGCTAATCCAGAGGCGGCGCTGGTAACGACGTCAAAGTCTCTCCCGCTACGGCCCAGGTGGGCTCTCCGACGGCCCTGGCCGACGCGGCGACGGAGAGGCGGCTGCGCGAGGCGAGCGCCACGCACGGCCGCACGCTCTACGTGCCCACTGGGGCCTTCTGGGGAGGAGACGACATCCAGAAAATGGCCGACCGAGGCACGCTCAAGGTCCCCAGCGCTTGAACTTTTAAGAAAAAAAGATAAATGACAATAATCTTTTTTTTTTCACGTCGGCTTGTAATGCGCACGGTGCTTGCTCGCCATCGAAGGGAGAGAGAACGGCTCCAAGAGGTGCGAGGAGCCGCAGAAAAGTGGGCAAGGCAGCAGCCAGGTGGTGAGCCGGCACTACCAACGGTTGCCCAAGCTCTGCGGTCATCTCTGTATTAAGATGTTATCGGTCAGTTAATGAGTTTTTACACGTGGGAGGAAACCGGAGCACCCGGAGAAACACTTGCGAGGGGGCAACACTCTATCCCATACAGATAGAACAGGCGCAGTCCACATTTCGCTTTGCCGCGTTCTCCTGGCGAGCCAGGGAATGGCTCCTCGACACCCGCGGGAATGGAGTTTCACAACATTTGTGTGATCCACCAACGATCGCCTCCACAGTGCTGAATAATAAGCGTGCATAGCCACCGACCGCTCGGAAAATATAAGTTCTGGTACGCCAACAGGTGTCATGCGACAGGGTGGAGAGCTGTTGTGCCATGCGTTTGCGTTGAGTTGTAGCCTGTAATCATTGTCTTATATTTGTGTGTCCCTGCGTTAGCGGTGGTTTGTGCATGTTGGCACTTTGTGGCCTTCATTGCAAGTTTGCTTACCACCGTTTAATATATCGCTCAGTATGTATGCCACCTGATGCTCGGCAATTTGAATTACCTGACATGAACAACATACCGACATTTATCAATCGTATGTTTAGGTCACATGATCTAGGGCAGGGGTCAGCAACTAAACTAACAAGAGCAGTTTTTTTTCACATTCGATAAAAAAAAACCTAAATATGTCGAGAGTCGCAATGCGTGTGGTGAATACGAGAGAGCGGCCCTTAATAAACAACGCCAAGAAGCAGTCCTTAAAGAGCCGCGTGCGGCTCCGGAACCGTGGGTTGCCAACATCTGATCTAGAGAATAGCCGCAATGCCATATAACCCACTGCTGTTGGTAGCCTAGATACAGTGGTAGTGGTAACTTCACATTCCTATGGAGGGGACCAGTCCCTCTTTAGGAATGCGAATAACGAGGGAATGCTGTCTCACTATAGAGCTCCCTGTAGTGGAGGCCCCTTCCACTTGCAGTGGTGAGAGCTAAATGTCGCGGGGCCGCACCTTTACTGTTTTAACCTTTGCCTGATTGTCCACCTCCCCCTTTCGGCCCGTTTTGCCGACGCAGGCCCTGACCGTCACGATGACCAAACACCCGGCGAGCTTCAAGCTCGAGGGCACCCTTCGGCAGGCGAACGCTCAGGCGCTGGCGGAAGGCCCAGGGGCTGCTCGCCGCGTCTTGTACGAGGGCCCCGTGCGACGCCTCTGCCCTCTGGCCCCGAACAACGTGAACACGATGGCGGCCGCCGCCATGGCCGCGCACAACCTGGGGTTCGACGGCGTGACCGGCCGACTGGTGGCCGATTCGAGGTGCGTGCGCGCGTGCGAGCAACCGCTCAAGCGCAGCTCGTCTTTTCGCGACCGGTCATGTATTTGGTCGGTTTTAAACTAAAGTATACTGAAACAAATTTTTATTTTAGCAGGTAAGGCCCACTGAGCTGTTTAGCTCTTTTTCAGAAGCGACCTGGCGACAAATGATAGCTCAACCAAGTGGCTTATCGCGTGGAAATGTATAGCAGCCAAATACTCTCAACGCATGTTGATTCTGAACTAGCAACTGTTGTGCCCATGGCACGCCGCACGAACGGGGAGTAGGGACGAGGATTATGATGCGCGGGTAAATAAACGGAACGGGAAAGGGGAGAAGAGAAATAAAGTGGAAGTAAGAGGAAAAGGATGGAAAAGGAATGGAAAATGTGTACAAAGGGTCAGGAGAGATGAGGAGAGGGAGGAAGAGGCTACACGAGGCTCTGGACGCTGCTGCACGGAGCAGCGTCTGTTTTTTTCCACAAGGGGCGGAAGTGGGATTCAAAGTGGGGGTGGCCACACAGAAGTCACGTGATATACTGTACAGATGTCCCAGAATGTTCCTCAACTCATCAGTTTTCAGAAGCTAAGCAGGGGCAAACCTGGATAGTGCTTTTATGGGGAACCACCGTGTGCATCAAACAGGTGTTGCAAGTGGCTGCGAGGTTACGTTGTGGGCAGTAGAGGGCGGTGCAGCAAATACATTGTTGTACTGTACTACGCTCTGGAATCTATGCTCCCTGCCTTCACCAACCCACAGATGTATGGATGATCCACCAATCTGTGCCACAGACGTGGAGAATCACAGGCATAGATCATCACTACCCTTCATTAAAGCCTGGCTATCCGGGTGACTTTGATTCATCACGTAGGCTTTCGTGATCAATATTACGATTTACATTGAATTATTGGGTTAGATCATTTCAGTAAAATGCGTGTCGAAAACCCTCCTCGACCCGACTTGAACAACATTTTCAGATTTCTGGCAACTGCCTGATGATGCTGGTTGTAATCACCAATGAAACGTCCGTGCTCAATTGGCAAGTATCATTAATTGCTCTCCAACACACCGGTGGTGCTGCTGAAGCAGTGATAAATCGGCACGTTTGTTCATCACGCGGCAACTTCTATTAATTAGCTGTGTCAGGTGTTGGGAGGGTTTAGACCACACATTGTACTCACGCAGCGATCTGACCCAAAAACCAATTGTGAATCAGGATGACTTCGGTAGCCTGCAGTCGAGGAGTTCTAATGAGATTTCTTCTGTAACCCGCAATCTCGAATAACTCTCGTTCGTGTTCCCAGCCTGCCGGACTGGCACATCGTGGAGATCGAGGTGAGGGGCATGGGGGATCCTCCCTTCAGCGTGACGACCACTCGGCGCAATCCCGCGCTGCCCGGCGCTGTAACTGGGAATGCCACTTACGCTTCGTTCCTCAGCAGCTTGCTGGGTAGGTCTCATCACCCGCTGGGAATTGACGCTGTCGGTGTGATGATATGCTGCTTGAACAAAAACAATGAGTGAATCCGTGCCCTAACGAGCATTGAATGGTGCTCATCTATGTTGGTGGTCCTGAGCCAGTGATGGAAATATCTCCATTCCTTTGCCAGGGACACTTTTCTTAACAGGACAACCATCGATGACTTCCCACCAAACGGTGCGACCCCACTAGGTGGTGCTCATTTTTATCATCCCAATGCAGTGACATTGATGCTGCTACTGTGGTTGATGATGTGACTGATGATGCCTGCTTGTTAATAGCAATGATGATGATATTCATGACAATGATGGTGGTGAAAGATTTGAACTCACGACCTCATGATTGAGAAACGTGCGCATTATATTTTCACACACCTTCAGTTGCATTTCTCTTGGTCCATGGTATAATAAGTCCACGTACAGTATCATCTAAACGACAAGTCTCACTGAAGGTGCACGTCTACAACCAGCTACTCAAATGGATGCAAGACATCACAAAGCTTCTCCTCTGCTGGATGCACCACCGTTTAAGACCGTTGTCAACGTACGGTGCGAATGAGGTTCAACATACACACGTACATATTGTTACTTTGATTCCCCTGCGTGTGTTGCAGGAGCCAAGGGTCACGGAGGCCGCGTGCGTCTCTGCTGAGTCTCGGCAGCTCACAGCTGACAACCTCTTGGACCACCCCACAAATCGCAACCACCACACCTGAGCTATACGACACGCCGCTACTACGACAATCGAGCTGGATGAACAAAATTATGAATAGTAATAAAACGCAATGCCTGTGATCAAATCGCCTGGAATGTGTCCAATCTTGTCCCATTACGGAAGCAAAGCAGGGTTGTGCCCAGATGCTTGGACGATGTTGTAAGCTGTTGTGAGGCTAAGTGGTGGGCAGTCGAGGGCAATGCAGCAGGGTCCACTGTATTGTGCTTCTATGCCTCCACGGCTCGCAATGATCAGCGTGATAACGGTCAAATAACCCCCATTACTCGCATGTCACTGTGTCGTGGGTATATCATTGAACAGATTAGTTGAGTATAAATATGCATTCGTTGCTGTGATAGCATGACCTTTTGTTTGCTGCGTGTTTTCATTGAAATGAATTTGACACCACAGACAGGGAGTCGAACTTTACTTGAGAGCTACGTAACAACGAGAACCCCATGGGAAGAAGGCCTTGAGGGTGGCTCTAAATGTGCCGGCAGGTCTTGGGTTTAATGCGGCGGTGTTCATTGCAAGGCCCGCAGGCCACTGGCGGCCCCTGATGGCCTTTAGTGCGGCCCCTGACGTGTGGCCCACGACAAAACACAATGAGTGAAAAGACCCCATGCGGGCGCTGTGGCGGCCCTCACACTGATGATGTCCTATCGGGGAAAGTGGCCGCCCCTCTGAAAATTAGAGAACACTGGTTTAACGGGAAGGTCTACACTTCTTCGGATTTTTCCCAGTTGGTTTGATGTCGCGGCATCCCGCGAGAAGTTGGCTGGCATAACGTTGACCAGAACGGGTGGGAACGCGTTGCAGTGTGCCCGTTATTGTTCGAAGGATACTGTTGATCTGGTCGTCCAAGTTCAGTGTCAGTGCTTGATGCTCAGACTGAAACTTTTTATTTATTTACCAGGTAAGGCCTACTGAGTTATATCACTCTTTTTAGGAAGTGACATGACCACAAATGATAGCTTAACGAAATGGCTTGTCATGTGGAAATGTATCGCAGCCAAATACTCTTAACGCATGTTTCTAAAGGTGGGGTGAAAAACCGGAGGAGCCGGAGAAAAATCCACGGGACCACGGGGAGAACACGCAAACTTAAAATATACAGCAGGTGTCAGGGTCGGGATTGAGCCCACGACCTCTTGCATACCAGGCGAGGTAGTTAACATCTCGCCACTGGACCAGAAGAGGGCGGTCACACGTAGCGTTCATCTGGCGGCTGCCCGTGTTGTTGCGATCAGTTATCGAATCAGAATCCCCTTTTACGTGTTTTTTTCGCACACCTTTCCGATCTGTTTTTTCAACGTGATGCTTCTGGCTAATGCTATGCCTAAGTATTTAGGGTAAGGCTCGTTTTTTTACAGGGTTACCAATTAAAGTCACGTCCAAATGGCCGAAGGAAAGTTGGTTGGACGCTTTGATATTCGTTTGACATTCGCAATGAAAGCACTTTGAATCCGATACAAATCATAGAGCACTCAAACGATTTTAATCCCGTAAGAATAATCCTGTAACACGCCATAGTGCTATGACGCCAGAACCAAAGCACTGAGCCACTCCATTCCAACAGTAATGTGAAGGAACCCCTTCGTTCGGTTTCCAACTGGGTGTTTATGTCGCGGTGATTGATCACTATCCAGGCTTTACCATGCTTGGCTTCCGATATCAGGCGCACTCCATGTGATTTCGTCAGAGGCACAATTTCGGAAACCAATGAACCACAAGATCACCAATAAAAAAAGAGACCCCCAATACAAACCATTGTGCAATTTGCCTATACACTACAGTACTCTCTCATTGCGCCACAGTATTTAGTGGGAGTGCATTGAGCAAGGCGTGCACAAGCAAATAAAACAACCCTAAACAAATTTGTCAATAACACTGCCTTGAAAGGAAAAGAAAATACATAATCGGCGGACCTTTCGGGCAATGACCCTTCAAAAAGCAATCAGAATCAGAATACTTATTTATATTGGAGGAATCCGATAAGCTATAAAGCCTATTTTGAACAGATGTCTAGTGGGGGCAGGTCAGAACGTTACAACAAGCCAATGCTTTTTTACACGTGACTTTTATACATTCATTTTCTATCTACGTGACTTTGGGGCCGTCCATAAATGACGTAAATATTTACATTATTTATTATTTCCCTTCTACGTGACTTTACCAAAAGAACCAAGAAGATGAATCCCTGCAGTCACGAAAGCTTTAAATCGAAAAATATAGAATTGTTATAACAACACTAATTGTTACAACATTAGAGTGCAGCGCCATATTAAATTCGCACTACAATGACAATAGTTGAAAGCGATTTGAAGCATGTTTTTTTTTTCAAAATGGAAATATGGTTTTGGGGGGGGGGGGGGGCAGAGCTTTGTGACGTCATAATCGAGGGGGGGGGGTTCTGACTTTTGTGACGCCGTGTGACGAGGGGGGGGGGGGGCAAAAATCGTCCAAAATCGCGTGACGTCATTTATGGACGGCCCCTTTACCGAAAGAACCAAAGAGTATGGATTCCTGTAGTCATGAAAGCTTCAAATCAAGATCGACTTTTATACAGTTAGAGCAAAACAATATGAAAAACACGATAGGAGTGCAAAGTTTAGGAAATGTAAACAAATCACTTTAAAATATATATGTAAATAGCATTACATGTACTACTATAATGAGCCATGCTTGTGTTTCCCGCGCGTGACGTCATTTCCTCATTAATAATATTCTCAATGTTATTCTTGGTTCTTTCGGTAAAGTCACGTAGAATGCAAATAATAAAATAATAAAAACATTAAACAATAAAAGATATTGTTTAATAAAAAAGAAAAAAATATAAACCAATAAAATTTTTTTTTTATATTTATATTATTTATTATTTCCCTTCTACGTGACTTTACCGAAAGAACCAAGAATATGAATCCCTGCAGTCACGAAAGCTTTAAATAAAAATTCTCAATGTCCTCAATTATGGGGGGGGGGGAGGGGGTAACCACCCGGACCACGTGCGGCACGAGACCCCCGGAAGTGCCCCAACCCACGTGTTCCGCACGCCCGACCGGCCGGCGAAACACGTGGGGGGCTCGGGAAAACCCAAGAAACTGAATCTCCGCGCATGCGCAGTCGGGGACCCCGCCGCGTCCGTGATGGAGGCCGCGAAGATTGTAGCGGCCTTGAGCGGCACCATCGACTCGAACCAGCGCGCGGCGGCCGAGGCTGAGCTCGACAATGTAAGGGTTTGTTTCGCCTCTGAGTCCCCCCCCCCCCTATCTATTCCACACCTTGACAAACCATCACGGCAGGTTGCTTTTCGCCCGACCGACTGCGGGTGTACGCATTCGCCGATCGCCGCTTCACCGCACACCGACCCCCCCCCCCTCTACTCGCATGGCGGGGCTGCCCGTGGAGGCTCGCCTCGGTTGGGCAGAGGCGCTAGGCAAGCAGCGTGTCCACTCTGCCGGCTAGGCCCTATAACGTGGTGTGTGTTGCCCGGGGTTTCGCGGTTTAGTTTGCGTCTCCCGGTGAAATGTTTCGCTTGGTAACGTGCGTCCGATTTGCGAGAGAGGCGTGTGATGGCTTATTGTATGCGCAACGTGCAGTGGTTTAATGTGGCGTGGGGTTATTGACGCCGTGGATTCGCTGGGGAGGAGAGAACGCTGAACATGTGGCCGCGCGGGGTGAATTAAGACGAAGGGATTAGTGGCATTTCGTGTTAAATCAAATTGCTTTAAAGAATATATCGGTCGTGATTGTATAACAATGCTATGAGGCCATGATAATATTTTTGTAGTTATTCGCAATAACATTTATCCATACTTAATTCTAGCGCTGCTAGATGAAAGGTCTTCTTGACGCCCATGCGTAATGCTCAAGCATTCTAACCGAGTGGCCAGGGTCTTAGAACCCCAGTTTTATATTGAGTGAACAATTCGGGGTTTAGATTTATACATATTCAAATATCAGTTATTTTTTTGACTAGTTTAAGTTACCATTTGCGCGCGTATACATTATTAATAGTTTGCATTCATTTCCGTTGGCTCTGTGGTGCTGCGATCAGAGGACATTAACGGGCAATCTTCAAAAGACTTTAAAGAGTTTTAAGTTTTAAACAAGAGGGCAACTCGACTGGCATTTCTTCGAGCAGAGTGGGAAAGTGGTCCCATCAAGAGACTTGATTGATGGGATAACTTTGCTGTAATTGACAGCTTTATCAACTTGTAATTTGCACACCACAAAATAAAATAACGTCAAATGTCAATCGCTGACAATCGGCTGGCACCACCACCATCTTGCCTTGGTGGGCAGGGAGATGATTGAACTCTTAAATAAAATTCGACACCCTTGCAAAAAAAACACAGTGCTGACTGTTCGTGCCAGGGTTTAAAAGCCCAGGGTGCCCTGTTACATTGTTTAATGTGTGTACAGTACCGTCTAGTCGAACAAATGAGTTGGGGAGCAAAGTTGGCAGCAGTATATAAAACGTGTGCATTGCTTTTATCACGAATCAACACTCGCATTGTAACTTGGAAACATTTGCCTGTAGGCAGTTTAGTTTGTTCTGAAAATCAGCCGTTGGTCAAAACTGTCTATAAAATTGTATATGCATTGCTAAAAACTAACAGTATATACAGTACATTGGTAATGGTGATAGTAGCAGGCTGTAGAATATATATATTTTTCTAATTTAACATTGTTCAGTCTGATGTCTTTGATGAAATACTCGCAGTTGGAGTGGAATAACTGGAGTGAAGGCTGCTTATGGAGTGGTTGCTGTACAGCTTAAAGGCATTATAAAATCCAAGCACTCCATAATTAAAAAACAGTCGAGCATGTCCCGTAAATGTTCTTTAAACTATCATGTTTCAGTGTTAATACAATACACAGGGCATTATTATGCCCCGGTGTTTCCTTTTCACTACGTTAATGTTTTACAAACAATATGAGTAGAATTGCTGTACACAACCCACGACCTACTGAGTGTTGTGAAAACTTTAAACTGCAATACCCTTTAGTTAATCAGATTTTGTTTTATCTCACTGAAATAACCTGATAAGCAGGGTAAAATGTTGGCAGTGCTTCTGTATA